AATAAATTTCCCCTTTGAAAATTATTAACTTGCCACCTAAAAGACCTGACCACCAGGACTTATAACTAGAAAACACAACCCAGAAGCTTAGGGAAGATGGTAGCAACTTTGAGTCTCCCTCACTTGGTATCTGTGAGCTCAATCCCTGGGTTGAGGGTCCCAAGCCCTGCCCCTGCCTCTGGGTCATGGATCAGCTATTCCCAGAGGTACAGCTGACACCTCTCCTCTTTGTCCTCTCTCAACCTGGCAGCTGCAGCACAAAGATATTCCAAGGAGAGGCCAAGAAATCCCACTGCTTAGGAACCTACATGCATCGCCTTTATTGAAAATAAAGAGCCATGAGCTGATTTGAAATATTACATCTTCCTACAGCTGTTCCCTTTTAAATATTTATCCTGGCAAACACCATCACCGTTTTTTACAACTTATTTTAATTGTGTGACTATTAAGCAAACCAAACCGTAAAATTGGCTCTCAGTGCTGAGATTTATGTGATTCATAGACCAGAGCTTATTAAAAAGGGAATCCACTGAGTGCAAACTAGCCTCACGAGTGCCCCACACTGTCTCCAGGAAGGTGTGAAGCCTTTTCCCTATTCCTGCCTGTGGCTGCCAAGCTTTCACAGTGATGAGCAGCATGAAAAGTGAACAGAATCTACCCATTTCCCTCTGGTTTTTTTTCTTCTTAACAATCCTCAGGAGCTTAAATTGGAAGTCAGGGATGCTACAGTCTTACAGCGGGTGGCAGAAGCTCTGAGAGCTCACAGCAGAATCAGTGCCCTGGAGGATTAGGTAGCATCAAGGTCTGAGAGGAGGACTTAATCATAGGACTTCGAGTAACTAGGAATAGGTAGTGGGTATCCTGTGTATTTGCCACCAAGGTCATTGTTGGTTTGAATCATGGAATTGCTGTATGCCCAGCTCTGTTCTGAGGGCTTTATGCTTAGAATGACAAGTTAGGTAGTTTTGCCATCCACTTGAGGAAGTAAGTGTCTGACTCCTGATTGTGGCTCAAGTCAGGATCTCAAGGGTCCTGTGATTAGGACCTGTGACAGGCTCCGCGCTCAGCACGGAGACTGCCTGGGACTCTCTCCCTCTGCACTCCCCCTGCTCATGTGCTTGCTCTCTCTCTAAAATAAATAAAATCTTAAAAAAAAAAAAAGACTTCAATTAAAGCATGCCCTCGAAAAATGCACTTACAAATATTTACATGAATACTTAGTTACTCTTTCACTGTTTATCACCCAAGCTGCCCTCATTTTCCCCTATATTTTTACAGTAGCCAACTGACTGCCTCCCAGTTTCTCTGCACAGCAGCCAGACTGATGGCAATCCTGTTAAAACTTAAGTCAGATCGTGTTACTTCTCTGCTCAATACAATCCACCAGCTTCCTATTTACCTGCCACAAATGGCAACAATTCTAATGTGTTTACAAGGCGCTCTAGGGTCTGCCTCCAGATCCCCTGCTGACCTGGGCTCCAGTTCTTCACAACCTTAACTCCTGCTGCTGTAAGCACAGCCATCTCCTTGCTGATCTCATTACATGACTTAGCCTGGCCTCTGGGCCCTTACTTGCTGTTCCCCGTACCCTAGAACACCATGCAGCTCTCATTCTGTTGTCTTTATTGTCATTTCGTGGCAGAGGCCTTCCTGAACACAGTGTTTAAAACCGCAACTCCCCACCTCCACCCTGCCTGGCACCTCCTATCCTCCTCCTCTGCATTTTTTCTCCACAGCACTCATCATCAGTGTACATACTATGCATTTTATTTACGGTTTATTATCTATCTCCCACACTAACCTCTGAGCTCCTTGAGGAGAGATTTGTTTTTGTTTTTTTAAAGATTTTATTTATTTATTCAAGAGAGACACAGAGAGAAAGAAAGGCAGAGACACAGGCAGAGGGAGAAACAGGCTCTGTGCAGGGAGCCTGATGTGGGACTCGATCCTGGGAACCCAGGATCATGCCCTGGGTCCAAGGCAGGTGCTAAACCGCTAAGCCACCCAGGGATCCCCTTGAGGAGAGATTTGTGTCTGTTTCATTACTGTATTCCACTTCCTGGAATAGTGCCTCACAGAGAGTAGGCATTCAATAATTGCCTGATTGAGGGGTGCCTGAGTGGCTCAGTTGGTTAAGGGTCTGCCTTCGGCTCAGGTCATGATCCCAGGGTCCTAGGATGGAGATTGGGATTCCTGCTCAGCTTAGAGCTGATTCTCCCTCTCCTGCTGCTCCCCATGCTTGTGATCTCTTTCTCTCTCTGTCAAATAAATAAATAAAATCTTTAAAAAAAAATAATTGCGTGATTGATTCAACTCTGCAGGGGTATGAATGTATCCAGGATGGGGAGTAGAAGGGAATGAACATTTGCTGAAATACCTCCAAGTGCCAGCCAAGCAGTTTGCAAGTTAGTATCAGTCACATCATTTAACTGTCACACACAATCCTAGAAGGTATTTTTATCCCCAGTTCACCATGAAAACTGAAGCCCAGAGCAGTTAAGAAAATAGACAAAAGTTACAACAGCCAGTAGTAGAAGAGAATTCAAACCTAAATCTGTTAGGTTACTATTACTTCATTCACATTACTTCATTCTCCTTCTCTGAGGAAATGCAACTGCCAGCTTTCACACCTCGTTCCATTTTACACTGAGAGGTGGGGGACTGGGGAGTGGGGGTGAATCAGAGATTTGGGGGTTCCTTGGAGCTGTCATCAAGCAAAACAAACATTAAAAGCCTGAGTCTTATTGCACATTAACATCAAACACTGTCAAAGATACAATGTAATAAACATCCTTCTAGGGAGCTGATCACTTTCATTCCAGTCACTCAGGGGTTTATTTATAAATATTTGCTGAGTGCCTACTAAGTGTCTAGTATTACCCTAGACATTGAGGATAAAGAGATGCATAAGGCACAGATGTCACCCTCCACAAACATTTGAAGTCCAGGGCAGTGCTTTCCGATGTACGTATCAATATGAGCTGAGGATGCAGTTTTACATTTTCTGGGCACCACCACATTTTCAAAAAAGTAAAAACAGTTGAAATCAATTTTAATATATTTCTATTCAGCCCAACATATCTAAAATAATACTTTAACATGTGAATCAACATGCATACATATATTTTTTTAACATATATATCATTGATGAGTTATTTTACAGGTTTTTTGGTTTTTTTTTTTTTTTGCTTGGCAACCCGTCTTTGAAATCAGTGTGCATTTTTACAACTTACAGTTCATCTCGATTTGGACTAGCCACATTTCAAGAGGTCGAGAGCCCCATGTGGGTAGCAATGACAGCACTCAACATCCCTACGGAAGTTCAAGGCCTACACAGCATAAGGGTTTGACTTGCATATACTAGGAAACGATTGCCACAGTAAGTTTACTTAGCATACACCATCTCATATAGATACAATTTTTAAAGAATCTTCCTTAACAGTATGGAACTCTTCACGAATGTGTGGGGGCATCCTTGCACAGGGGCCCTGCTCATCTTCGCCGTATGCTCCAACTTTGTATATACGCTGTCTCGGCAAGTACCAAGAACCTTCTAATGTCTTCCCTTGCCTCAGTCTCTCCCCTTCCCAGCCTCAAAAGTAGTTACGATGATTCCACGAGGCCCTTGGTGGTTCTCCATCCCCTACATTACAAAAAGCCGAGCTCTTTTTCGCATAGCATAGAATTCTCTGCAGAATCCGACTGTGGCTTAACCCTCTAACAACGCCCGATGCTTTGCAGTTCCTGCCCCCGCCCCCAAGTCACTCGGGTTCTCTGAGCCTGCTAGTCCTTGGTAAAAACAGCCATCCTGATCCCTCAAAGAACTGACCTGAGGTTTGAAGGGCAGTAAGTGCACTTAAGCAATACAAGGTAATTCCTCTCCCCATCGCTGCTCCACACTCTAAGTCTCTGTCTGTATACCTGGCGCCTCTTTTCACCGGTGTACTGTGCGGGACACACGGCCGAATACAGGGAAACAGATGGAAGCAGGAGGCCCCCGCCTGCCCCAGGCTCATCACGACGCGCTCCCCGGACCGCTCTCTCTAAGGACTGCCCGCTCAGGCCCGGCCGAGCCCGCAGCGCCCCCAGCTGCCTCCCTCCCGCGCCGCCGCGCCGCGCCGCGCGGCGCCGGGAGCCTCACCTGACCGCCGCCCACGTGGCAGGCGGGGGGCGGGGACGCCTGGAGCGGCGCGGGCTCCGCCCTCTGCGCCTGCGCGCTGCGGCCGGCTGGAGGACCCGGATTTAAAGAGACAGGCGCTCCAACCGTCGTGGCGGCGCGCGGCCTGGGGGCGCCGGGTCCGAGGCCTGCGGGGTGCGCCGGAGCCGGGAAGGCAGGTGAGGGGCGGGCGCGGCGGGGCCGGGCGGCGGGCCGGAGCCGGCCCCCTCGGCTCCTCCCCCGCCCGCCGAGCCCCGGGGCACACCCTCCGTGACGTGGCGGCCCCCCGGGAGCCCACGGGGGTTGGCCCGCGGCTCCCCGGGACCCCGCGGCTCCGCGGGTGGGAGGGCTCCCAGGGCCGGGCCAGGTCTGCACGGCGGCTGCGCCGAGGCCGGTGCGCGGCGGGGCGGGCGGGCGGGCGGGCGGCTTCCGGTGCCCCCGCGCCCGCACCTCCTCCGCGGCCGCGCTGGCCGGCGGGGCCCTGCACACGCCCCGAGGCGTCGGGAGGCCCCCGCGGGGACGGGGCCCCCGCAGGAGGCGCGGCGCGGGGCGGGGCTGCGGGGCCGGCGGGGGCGGGGCCCGGGGCCTCCCGAGGACCGTGTGGAGGCCCGGGGGTGCTGAGCGCCCCGGGGGCCCCTTCTGCTGCGCTGCGGGACCGCAAGCCTGCTGGTCCTCGCAGACCCGCCGCGGTCTCCCTGCGGAGCCTGTGCAGGCTGCACCTGATTCCCCGCGTATTTAAAATTAGAACAACGAGATGCTTTGGAACGTATGAATCTAGAAAGGCGGGAGGACACCATGTGAGCGTCATCCCCGCGCCCGTTTGGGGTGATTTATCGGTTCTCCTGCCTTCCTGCCTCCTAGTCGCTTCAGCACTCCCTGGTTGAAGGCACCACGTCCCGAGCAGAGCAGGCTGAGCGCACAGAGGGAGGGGGAGGAAGAGCTAACGCGCCGGGAAGGACGAGCTGGGGAGTCTTGTTGTCCACGCCCTAACGCTGGAGGAAACTGGGAGAGGTCACGCAGCTAGCGAGCTGGTTCTAGGCTCCATTTAATTGCCTCTCAAAGTAGGTCATCTGATTACATCACGAGTCTATAGGGTGACCTAGTTTTATTTTCTGAGAATGGCCTGTATGAGGGCAGCCCCGGTGGCTCAGCGGTTTGGTTCCGCCTTCGGCCCAGGGTGTGATCCTGGAGACCTGGGATCGAGTCCCCCATCGGGCTCCCTGCATGGAGCCTGCTTCTCCCTCTGCCTGTGTCTCTGCCTCTCTCCGTGTGTCTCTCATGAATAAATAAATAAAATCTTTAAAAAAAAAAAAAACAACTTCATGAGCATCATGTAATTTTTTTTGTTTTCTTTTGATGATGACTAAAAAGAAACTTCAGGATCCTGTAATACGTAAGAGTCATCATCCACTATAAGTATCTGGTATCGCTGATGGCCTGAGAAAAGCTTTCATGTTATTTGGATTTGATTCTCTTGGTTGTGATTTGTTAGATGTACATGCGTGCGTTAAGTATTTGAACACCCTTCTGCAAACTGGATTTTCCTGTCCTGGAACTCTTCTTCATCTTATAGGCAATAAATCTTTATACTTTGGGAAATGTTTGGTTGGTCAGCATGGGATGTATTAAGGCTTTGGGCGTAGGAGAAAGTGGAAGCCTGGCTCCTCATTTATATCTCACTTTTTCTGCCTCTCACACAGCTGTATGACTTTGGCTTTCAAGATCCTCTTCCCACCAACCTTCCGCGCACTCAGGCGAAAAGAATTGTGCCTGTTCCGAGAGCCACATCACTGGCCTGACGTAAGACAGTTCAGCCATTGGTCAGAAAGAGATCTGCTTCATGGGTCCTGCCTCCTCCAGAGAAGAAAGCCTGTTCTGTCATTCCAGGAAGGCAGTCTAAGACCACGTGCCACCTGCCTTGTTTTTTTGCCAGGGTCGCATGTGGGACTCTGCAGTGGGCCCTGTGAGATGGCTGAGCAACGGTTCTGTGTGGACTATGCCAAGCGTGGCACGGCTGGCTGCAAAAAATGCAAAGAAAAGATTGTGAAAGGTGTATGCCGGATTGGCAAAGTGGTGCCCAATCCCTTCTCAGAGTCCGGGGGTGATATGAAAGAGTGGTATCACATTAAATGCATGTTTGAGAAATTGGAGCGGGCCCGGGCCACCACAAAAAAAATTGAGGACCTCACAGAGCTGGAAGGCTGGGAAGAGCTGGAAGATAATGAGAAGGAACAGATAAGCCAGCACATTGCAGGTGGGTGAGGACTACCGCTTTTTCATCATAATGGTGCTGAGGGAAAAAAAGAGGAGAGTAGAGTCCCATTTTTTTCTTCCTTCCTACTTTTTTTTTTTCTTTTTTGGAATTTCAAATTTACAGGAGAGTTGTGAGAATAAAAAAAAGAAAAAAGAAAGTACATATTCCTTCTCCCCTGACACACCTGCTGTTAACATTTTGTTCTCTAAGCGTTATCAGTTGTGTTCTTATGTGCACTGTTGTTCTTTCCACCTGATCACAGCTTGACTTTTCTTCCTGAACCATTTTATGGCCTTTGCCTTTCAATACTTCAGTGTGTGTATCTTAAAAATGGGAGTATTCGGGATCCCTGGATGGCTCAGTGGTTGAGCGTTTGCCTCCAGCCCGGGGCGTGATCCTCAAGTCCCGGGATCCAGTCCCACGTCGGGCTCCCTGCATGGAGCCTGCTTCTCCCTCTGCCTGTGTCTCTGCCTCTCTCTCTCTCTCTCTCTCTCTCTCTCTCTCTCTCTCTGTGTCTCTCATGAATAAATAAATAAAAACTTAAAAAAAAAGGGAGTATTCTCTCATGTGACCATAATACAGCAATCAACTCCAGTAAATTGATCCTTTATGTAGTACTGTAATGTACCATTTGTATTCCAGTTTTGTCCATTGGTCAAATGTTATCTTATATAGCTTATAGCTTTTTCTCCCTCCACAGTAGAATCCCACTCTAAGATTCAGGTATTGCATTTTGTTGTCTCTTTGGCTTCCTTTAATCCGGAACATTTCCATAGTCTTTCTTTTATGACACTGATTTTTTTTTTTTTTTGACATTGATATTTTTGAAGAATAGAGTACGTACCATCACCCCCTCTTATCTTTTGATTTGTTATCCTGTGGACTTACAGATTACTTTTTCCTGGTGGTTTTTAATTTACTGTATTTTATAATTCTATACTTGACTGTCCTATATTTGGCCACTTGGGGAAGCCCCTTTGCTCTGGTTTCTGTGTCCTGTATGCTGCTTCTTTTTTTCCCTTGTTTTAATGTTTTTAAGTACTTCCTTACTTTCTAGCATTGCAGCATGTGCTTAGGCTTACCTTATTATTATTTTAAGATTTTGTTTTTAAGTAAGCTCTACAACCCAATGTGTGTCTCAAACTCAACCCTTGAGATCAAGAGTTGCATGCTCCACCGACTGAGCCAGCCAGGCACCCTTCTTAGGCTTACCTTGTATGTATCCTACCACCACTCTGGAATCAGCCATTTCTCTAAAGAATCCTGGTTCCAATTAGTGGGGAATGGCTTTAGAGACCAAAATCTAGATGTTCTTTCCTTGTTGCCATGAGGTGTTTATGCCTTTCTTTCTTTTTTTTTTTTTTTTTTTGAGTTTTTATTTATTCATTCATGAGAGACAGAGAGAGGCAGACACATAGGCAGAGGGAGAAGCAGGCTCCCTGCGGAGAGCCCCATATGGGGCTCAATCCCAGGACCCCAGGATCACAACCTGAGTTGTAGGCAGATGCTCAACCTCTGAGCCACCCAGGCATCCCAGGTGTCTTTGCTTTTAAGACCTTTCAGCAGGCAGAAAGAGAAAATATATGCATGTTTACACACAAAACACATGCTTACACATACACATATATATACGTATGCATTCATATGTACAGATTCACGTGTGCGTATTTTTAGAAATCTCATACTGATACTTCCAAATCCAGTTAGTCATTTATGACCTTCCATGTGCTCATCTTTAAAGTAATTTTTGTATCTTCAATTAAGTATAGTTCTAGAAGGTCACTATAGGAGGACTCTGGCAGTGGCCATAAAAATGGGCAAAAAAATAAAAATGGGCACCTATCTATCACTGTTCTTTGAGAGAAGACGTCCAGGAGAGAAAGCTACTTCGAGTATACTTTTTTCTCAAGCTCCCCATCCTGCCCTGCCCTGCCCTGACTTGGCCATCTGCCTCAGCCTGTGTTACTTCTTGATTAATCGAAAAACAAGGTAGAATCAAACTCACACAGCTCAGAAGACTCAGCAACGGGGACTTTCCCTGCATGTGCCATCCTAATACTTGCTGTTCTCCATCTTCATTGTACTTTCTTATTCATCTATAAACCGGGGCTAATTCCATGGAGCTGAGGACCCCAGGTTTTATCTGTGGAGATGTGTTCTGATTTTTCCCAAATCTGGAGGTCATTCTATATGGGTTAAGAGGTGGAGAGTGCCGATGAAAATATAAATTACTAATAGAAGTAAAGAGTATTGGGATCTTTTGTCCCCTGAACGCTCCTCGCCCCAGGACTCTAACCCACTGACTCCACTCAAAAAGGTCCGCAGTCCGCAGCCAACCTTGGAGTGATGTCACAGTAATAACTCATCTGGGAAGGCTGTAAGAGCAGTTGTTAAATTCTTGGGAAGTTTTTCTCAGGGATCTTTCACTGAAACATTTTCCCTCTTTTGGGGGTCCTACAGATCTGTCTTCTAAGGCAACAGGAACACCAAAGAAGAAAGCTGTCGTCCAGGCTAAGCTGACAGCCACTGGCCAGGTGACCTCTCCAGTGAAAGGTGCCTCATTTGTCACCAATACCAATCCCCGGAAATTTTCTGGTTTTTCAGGTGAGAGATTTGAACTACTTTAGCTGTTCTGGTCCTTTTAATTTGGAATCCTATTTGGGATTCTGGCCAAGAGTGAAAATTCTGTGCTATCTATCCTCATTCATAATTTGCTTCCGTCTGAGCAAAGAGGCAGGTAATGGCTAATTTTCAACATTCCCCTGGTATAGCATTTCTTTGTATACGTTATTCTTTAGTGCAACAAAAAAGATGTGTTTTCAAGACTTTTTCCCCTTGAAGTAGTCACCTGGGTCAGATGGAAATGATTATAACCTACCCTATAACTTCCTTGTGTTTTAGTAATGAAGGAATTTTGAGAAATTGCATCCCTAAACTTGCCCAAAGCAGAGATGAAAGTATGGTCAATGTCCTGCATGGCCTTACATAATAGGTAGCATTGGGCTCGGGGCTTTTACCTCTGTAGTTACTTGTTTGTTCTTCAGTTAACCTTAGGAAGTACTTTCACAAGCCCCATCTTATGAGTGAGAGAGCTGATGTCCGGTTCATTATGGAGTTAGTATTGATGTTGAGGTCTCTTTAACTCCCAACACTTGTGCTCTTTTACCTTGCACCTTGTTGCCTCTTTTATTGGGAGACATTCCTGTGACCAACTCAGGTAAAGAAAGTAGAGCGGAACACATGAACTCAGAAGTTGTTCGGGGAAGGAGCTTTAAGCAAGTGAAAGAAGCGTAGACTTGAAGTTGGGAGACCTGGGTCTTGGTCCCAGGGCTGCCATGGGACAGTTTGCTCAGAGGAGCAAGTTGCTTTACCTCAGAGCCTCTGTGGCCTCATCTGTGAAGGGGGAATGGTAACACCTGCCTCCTTTACCCTACAGTATTTGCATGAGAACTACTGGAGAAAAGATGGCAAAAACAGTAACCCTGAGGTTTGTTTTTTCTTTGGTGGTAGGCCAAAACCAGAAATACAGAAGAGTCCCAGTGGCAGTAAGGACAGCATGTTCCTGGAAGGGCCCAGGTCCTAGGGAGGGAAATTTGGGAGGAGCTGAGAGAAATGGGGTGTTCTAAAGTCTTACAATCTGCCAAGCACCAACACTTTGGAGATTTTGTTCCCTAAAATCATCTTTAGACCTTAGGTCAGAGATGAGGATGGATTTATAATTTACAGACCCCAGGCAAGAGGAAGCTTACATCAGCAGCCTGCTTGCTAATGGCTCTGCTGCAAGCTTGCAGAATGAAATGTGCTTTGTAAAGGAGGTAAGAGAGAATCACTCAGGAGTTGTACAGTATTTTGGGGTGTCTGGAGGAAAGTCTTACTCATTGACCCCCTTTTATTTTGGCACTAAGAAATGGAGAGTGGGAGAGAGCACCAAAAGCCTTGGGATGCCTTCTCTCGGGTCTTGGGCTTCTCAGCAGTAAGAAGACATTGAACCAGGTCATCTTTAAGGCTTCTTCCAGTCCCAACAGTCTACGATAGTGACAGTTTACCACTGACTAACCTGTCCCTTGGTTTCTCTTCCATTCTCTACCGCACTTTTTCTGGTCAGCTTTACCATTGCTCTAAGGCCCACCCTCTGCACAAAGGCTACTTGTTCTATGCGGCACTTCTATAAAGAAACGCACAGCAGCTGAGCCTCTGCGCAAGTGTGAGCCTGTTCCATTACCTGTAAGATGGGTGTCATGGTATCCACCCCATAGGGTGATTTGGGGCAATGAAGTGGAGCTCCATTTGGAACGCCAGCAGAGTTATTAGTTTCCCTTTCTTCCTTCTCAGCAAGGCAAATGAATCATCCCTGATGCTTCTTTCTCCAACAGCCAAGCCCAACAACTCTGGGGAAGCCCGCTCAAGCCCTACCCCTAAGGCAAGTTTGTCCTCAAGCAGATGTGATCCCAAGCACAAGGATTGTCTGCTACGTGAGTTTCGGAAGCTGTGTGCCATGGTGGCTGAGAATCCTAGCTACAACACGAAGACCCAGATCATCCAGGACTTTCTTCGGAAAGGTTCAGCAGGAGGTGGGATCTAGAACATGCTGGATGGGTTTTCCTCTGAAGAGCTTAGAGCCATGGCTGGTTTCATGGGCATGTGAACCATACCTTTGCACAGGGCCCCGTGCGTGCTTTAATCCTCTGTTAATACTGCCTTTAAAGTCTCTCTCTTTCTCTCTTTTTTAAGATTTTTTATTTTTAAGTAATGTCTATATCCAACTTGGGGCTCAAACTTAAAACCCCAAGATCAAGAGTTGTATGCTCTACCGACTGAACCAGCCACGCACCCCTTGAAATTCATAATAATTTTGAACAGAGAACTCCGCCTTTTACTTCTTATTGGGCCCCACAAAGAATACAGCCAGTTCTGCTCAGAGCATATTGGTATCGTTCTTCTTCTGCCTTTATTTGATCCCCTGGAGGCCAGGAGAATGTATTGCATTTGACCAAGAGGAAAGTTCACTACCCTTAATGTTTGATCAGGTTTTTGTGACCCACATTGCACAGCTGGAGTAGTCTTCCAGTTCTTTCATTCATCTAACAAATCATCATTGAGCATCTGTAATGTGCTCATCGCTGGCGACACTGAACTGAAAGTGTAGCCATGCCCTCTGGGAGTTCATCTAGGGGAGGTAGCCTCGTGAGCCACCAGCCACCAGATGCTGTGGTCTCTACTACTGTAACAAAACACGCAGGGTATCGTGTATCGTGGTAGCGCAGACAGCAATGTAGACCTCTCTTTCAGTCCTTGAGTTTATGTATGTATTTGTTTAAGCTCCATTTCTCAAGAAGGCTTCCATTCTTCTGTCTCCAGATGGTTTCCACGGTGACGTGTACCTAACAGTGAAGCTGCTGCTGCCGGGTGTTATTAAGAGTGTTTACAACTTGAATGATAAGCAGATTGTGAAGCTTTTCAGCCGCATTTTTAATTGCAACGCAGATGATATGGCACGGGACCTAGAGCAGGTCAGAGGAAAGGGAAGGTGGGCAGCATTCCAGGTGGGGCTCTGCCAAGCCAGGCACCTGCAGCCTCTTTTTTCTGGTTGGGGCACATACTGTTTCAGGAAACTGAAACCCATTTGAGCAAGCAAGCTTCCTTTACTAGAGCTCAATGTGAGGCTACAGCCGTTAGTTTCACAAGGTTCTGAGGATTGCAGTCATACTGCCACAGAGCCCCAAGGGGCCTAGATTTCGAGGGACAGGATTTGAGATCTCCCATGGTCTCTCCTTGGGTTCCTGTTCGGGACCCTACTTTTTTTTTTTTTTTTCCTTTTTCTTTTTTTTGCTTTTTTAAGTATAACTTGGTATAACATGGGAGCCCTGGGTGGCTCAGTGGTTGAGTGTCTGCCTTTGGCCCAGGATGTGGTCCTGGGGTCCCAGGGTCCCGGGATCGAATCCCGCATCAGGCTTCCTGCATGGAGCCTGCTTCTCCCTCTGCCTGTGTCTCTGCCTCTCACTCTGTGTGTCTCTCATGAATAAAAAATAAAATCTTTTAAAAATTAAAAAAAAAAAAAAAACTTGGTCTAACATTCAGCTTTGTTTATTCGTGACTCCAGCTTTGGCATCATGGAAGGTTTTATCCAAGCCACCCCCCTTATCTGATGACCATATTTGTTTCTTATTTCAAATTCATTATTTTTTAAAATATTTTTCGAGAGAGAGAGGAGGGCAGTAGGGGAGAGGCAGAGGGAGAGAGAATCTTAAGCAGGTTCCACACCCAGCACATGAGTCCAAGAGGGCTCAGTCTCACAATCCTGAGATCATGACTTGAGCCAAAATCAAGAGTCAGACACTTAACTGACTGAGCCATGCAGGTGCCCCCCGCTTAGTTCAAATTCTAACAGGAATCAGGGACACCCGGGTGGCTCAGTGGTTTGGTGCCTGCCTTTGGCCCAGGGCGTGATCCTGGAGACCCGGATCGAATCCCACATCAGGCTCCCTGCATGGAGCCTGCTTCTCTCTCTGCCTGTGTCTCTGCCTCTCTCTCTGTATCTCTCATTAGTAAATAAATAAAATTTAAAAAAAAAAAAGCTTAAAAAAAATTCTAACAAGAATCAAATTGGCTCAGTCCTGGATTAGTCCTTATATCACCTCTCGGCCAAGGCAGGTGGCCAGGTCCTGTGGTGGTAGAGGTGCTCTTTCAGAAACTGTGGATGGGATAGATTGTCCAAGAAGTGAGATTAATATGTGTGAGTTGGGGACATGAGTGATGTTTACCGTTAGTCCTGAAGGCTTGGGGGAAACACTCAGCCATTCTGGGGTTGCAACAATTTTGGTTTTTGGAGACAGGGCGACGTGTCAGAGACAATCAGAGTCTTCTTTGAGCAGAGCAGAACTTTCCCCCCAGCTGCCAAGAGCCTTCTTACCATCCAGGAGGTGGACAAATTCCTCCTTGAGCTCTCCAAGCTCACCAAAGAGGATGAGCAGCAACAGGCCCTGCAGGACATCGCCTCCAGGTGGGAAAGCTGCCCAGTGAGGATGGGCTTGGGGTGATGGAATCACCAGGAAAGGAAGGTTTGGGGGTCCAGAGCTCTCTAAAGACCAAGTGGAATGTGCCTTCCCCCTAGGTGTACAGCCAATGACCTTAAGTGCATCATCAGATTGATCAAACACGATCTGAAGATGAACTCGGGTGCAAAACACGTGTAAGTACCAATCCCTCTGACAGCCTTGCTGCTGGCTTCCTGTGTTGCCAGCTGGTGTCAGGAGTTTTAAGTCCTGATCTGGATTCAAGTCTTGGTTCCACCTTACTCCTTCCTTCGGGGCCCATCACTTGACCTAGCTCAGTCTCCATTTTCTTATAGGAAATGTCAGCATACCCTTCTCACATAGTTATTAGAATTGAAAGCATAGAAATGTTCAATAAATAGAGTATGAGTTACTTGCCCACTCTAGCCCCCTCTTTGCTTAAGGCAGTATCCATGTTGACCCAGGATCTCAAAATCATTGAGTTTTCCAAGAACATTTTATCCTGCAGAAGGCTTTAAACAGTAGAACGTAAGCTTTCTCCCTGTATTGGAATCCTTCCTTTCTGCAAGAACTGACTGCTAGCTAGCTAAAGCAATAAGGTCAAAGGCAATGGTTTTTGTTTTTTTTGCTCCTGTCTGCCCTGGCAGGTTAGATGCCCTTGACCCCAATGCCTATGAAGCCTTCAAAGCCTCACGCAACCTGCAGGATGTGGTCGAGCGGGTCCTCCGCAACGAGCAGGAGGTGGAGAAGGAGCCAGGCCAGAGACGAGCTCTGAGTGTCCAGGCTTCTTTGATGACGCCAGTGCAGCCCATGCTGGTAAGGATGCTGCTCTGGCCCTACTTTGTCCAGATGTTCTAACCTTCCCTGTGAGATCTGGGAGGGTATGAATGTCGGAGTTTGGGTTAGGCGCAATGGGGATGCAAAAGGGTATATCTCAATGGGTGTATAAAGGTGAAGGAGAAGACTGTGGTCTGGTAGAAATGTCTGAACTTGAGGCCCAGCTCTGCCACCAGCAAGCTGTAGAATCTGGAATGAATTACCTAGCCTTTCTTGGTTTTTCATTTCCTTGCGTGAATTATGTATGAAACCATCTGAAGCATCTAGTTAGAATCCTTTTTCAGTCATCTTTCCTGAAGATAGGTGGATGCATTAACTCCTAAAGTTCTGTGACCTATCCCAGAGTAGCTCTGACAGTTATAGTGGCAGAGCTGGGCTTCCTGTGACACAGTGACTTGACTTCTTTCTTCTGGAAACAAGCCTAAGGAATGAAGACCAGGTCTGACCGAGATCATCTTGAGCCTCTGCTCATTTCATGAGAAGTAGGATTTCCTGTCTACATTGGTTTTTCTGGGCAGTGGGACCCTCCACAAATGCCATGCCTAGTCAGAGCCTTGGGGTTGCTCCATTGGGGTGCAGTGCCTTTCATGATGAGCCTGTCTTGTGCAATATAGACTACAGCCTTTGGTTAGGGTTCTGTGTTTGGGATGGGGGAAGTGTTTTCTCTCTCCCAGAATGTGGCACGGCCAGCACCAAAGTAGTGAGCTCTGCATCCCAGGGACAGGACTCAGATCACAGTAGTGATCTTTCTGACTTTCATACGAATTCTTCTTGGAGTCTGTTCTACAACCTGCCATTTATTCAAAGAGTGTATAGGTTAGATAGTTTCGTGATAAACTACACAGGCTTTGGAGTTGGGCCTAGCATCATTCCTGCCCCTCACTTGCTGTATAACTTGAAGTGAGGACTTCTAATGCTCTTCAAATTGGTTTTCTCATCCATAAAATGAAAACTGTGTCTATCACATAAGATGATCTGACACATACAGACACCCCCAGGATGGTAGTGGTTAGGTTGAGTCTGGATGGCACTGGTATGTGCAGAGGCACTCTTGTGGCCTGTCCTGGGGCTACCTGACCACTGCCACCATGCCAGCCTCTCTGTCACCTACCTCTCTTATCTTCCCCTCTACATATCTCCTGTGCTGAGGTCACTGCTGTTTTTTGGGATTTTTTTTTTTTAAGATTTTATTTATTCATGAGAGACAGAGGCAGAGACACAGGCAGAGGGGGAAGCAGGCTCCTCTTAGGGAGCCCGATGTGGGATTCGATCCCAGGACCCTGAGCCAAAGGCAGACACTCAACCACTGAGCCACCCAGGCATCCCTATTGCTGTGTTTAATAGGAAGCCAAGGCCCTGCAAGATCCTGAATTACTGAGAGAAAAAAATGAAATACTGTTTCAGTGGAATTTTATTTATTTGTAGTCCCCAAAAGCCCAGCTCCTGTTTCAGCTGCAGTGACGCTTATAGTCCAAATAAGCACTGCCTAGCCTTGTACATTTCCCCCAGCTCTTGAGCAGTCTGCCTGGAGGGTATCCTGTGGTCAGCAGGCCTTGGGACCTGGACTCTGGGGCTGTCATGCCCAAGCAGCCCCCATTGAAGAACACCTATAAGTCTCCAGGCTTTTCTCCCCCCTCCCCCCCAAGGCCGAGGCCTGCAAGTCCATCGAGCATGCGATGAAGAAGTGTCCTAACGGCATGTTTTCCGAGATCAAGTACGATGGGGAACGAGTCCAGGTGCATAAGAACGGAGATCACTTCAGCTACTTCAGCCGCAGCCTTAAGCCTGTGCTGCCTCACAAGGTACAGGTCCCTTCTTCTGCCGGGACCATCTCCCTCCCTTCCCCTAAGAACCTTGAGGCTGGGGTTCTGTAGTCCTTTCAGCTCTGGTACGCAGTAGAGTTTCTTTTGTATTTGTTGAATGAATGTATGTATTTTTGGAGTCTTGCAATGAAGGGCTGCTCAGTGGGGACACCCGAAGATCCCACACTTGGGTTAGCACAGAGCCCCAGGGGACGGTGACATTCCCCTTGCCCACATTGATCCTGGGACCATGAGCTCACCTGGCAAGTGACTTGCAGTGCTTGTCTTCTGCGTTTCCATGTCCTGTGTGCTCCACGAGTGAAATTACAGGTTAGGGACAAAGAAGCTATTGGGCTGTCATTCATGAATTTGATAAGCTTTTATTGAGTGCTTAGTCTGTGCTAGGCGCTATTCTTGATAGTGGATGTACAGCAATAAAGAAAAATGGACAAAAGTACTTGCCCTCCTCCCCCCCAGAAGCTTACATTGTGATGTAAGCACAATCCAGTGGGGACATCTGAGAGCACAGACTCCTGTCCTTCATTAAGGGGCTTTAAGAACCTTGCTCCTGAGTCCTCAGCAGCCAGGGTTTCTGTGAGCTTTGGGACGCTCCTCAGGGAAAAGCTGCTGGGATATCTGGCCCCAGTAGCCTTTGAGTAGAGGAGACTCTCTGTGCTTGCTATGCCTTCTCTCCCAGGACAGACTCCATTTTTCAGAGCCCTGGGGGTGGAGGAGATGTGTTGGGTGGCTCGCGTGCTTCCCTCACCCCTGCCTCCCTGCTGGGGCACCGGGCATTGGGCCATTCATTTCAGATGTGCAGAGGAGGGCTAAGCATTGGCCTCCCCAGGGAGATTAGTGCAGACTCACCGGCTTGGTGGGGCCCAGTAACCTTGTCCAGGAACTCTCCTGGGTTGCTGCTCAGTGGGCACCTCTGCTACCTGGAAGAGGTTTGGGCCGAGCTTTCAGAGTTCTAGACCTTTCCTGACTCTCTCTTACCAGTTGTCCCTTGTCTCTCCTGTGCTTGGGGGACAGTTATACAGGCCTCCTCTCTCCCCACTCCAAGCACCATAGGTAGCAAGTGTGCTCTCCGGACCTCACTGCTGGTATCATGTGGCAGGGGCCATCCTCCGTTACAGTGGGACTACTCCCTGTCTGGAACTCTCAGAGACTAGGGATCTGCCTGTATCAGGAAAAATTCTGATTGCAAATGTCCTTTCGTACTGTTCTGAAGATGGCTGCGCGTCCCAAGTTCCCACTCTGGAGAAGACCCTTCTGTTTTCTTGTTGCTCCTAAGAGGGTTCATTGCCTCCTTTCCATCCATCTTGTCATAACTCACCTGTTCTCCCCACAGGTGCCTGCTGCTTGAACTGCTGCCTCCCTTCCACAGGTGTCTGCCCCTACCTCCTCCTCCACATACCCAACTCCCTGTTTCTTCCTTTTTCCTCCAAACTTTCCATCATGGCCCAGAGTGGCTCAGCCCAGGCCGACCTCTTCCTGGGTCTCGAACACTCTCTCGAACTGTCGTCTCAGTGGTGGGTAAGGCCTAGGTCTGTTCTGGACCTGAGTTTGGCTTCCACGTGTTGGTGTTCTGTGTTCCTTCTGGGGCCTGGCTCTTGCATTCTGGCCTGGCTTTAGATCACTGCTGCCCATTCCTCCCTCAAGTAAGTCACCCCTCTGTCCCCCTAGGTGGCCCACTTTAAGGACTACATCCCCCAGGCTTTCCCTGGGGGCCACAGCATGATCTTGGACTCCGAGGTGCTCCTGATCGACACGAAGACAGGCAAACCGCTGCCCTTTGGGACTCTTGGAGTGCACAAGGTACTGGCTCAGGGCCGGGTGTGCAGGAATGGGCAGGTATGCGCACCTGTACAAGTATTTGTGTGCGCTCTTGGTCTGGACAGAGGGGGACTCTGTTCCTCACTCAGGGTTGGGCTTATCTTTGTTTCTGAACTGTTTCCGAATTTAGCACCAAGTTTGGGTGTGTTGTTTTTTACATAAAAGAAACTAGTATTAGGAACTTAGAATTGGGTCGGTTTCTGTTTAGAACCATCTGCTAAGTGCCCTTGTGGCCTAGGGGCTTCAGAACACATACAGGGCTTTACTGTCCAGTGCTTCAGAGGTTCTCCAGAAGTGGACTGGTCCTCCCCATTGCTTCACGCCCTCTTATTTTTGGCTCTCGTACTTACTACCTCATTTTCCCTTACAGAAAGCTGCCTTCCAGGATGCTAATGTCTGCCTTTTTGTTTTTGATTGTATCTACTTCAATGATGTCAGTTTGATGGATAGGTGAGAGATCTGGTTTTGGTTCCTGAGTTGGGAGGTGGGGGTTCAGATTAGACAGGAGGGAGGGGAAGTGGGGGTTGGGGGGAGGGAGCCAAGAGGTCACACACTTGGCTTTGTTGGGGGGGTTGGGGGGGAGCCAAGAGGTCACACACTTGCCACACACTCAACTCCCCACTTGTGAGACCCAGTTTGCTGACTAGATATCTCTCAGAGCTGAAGTCAGAGAGGAAACCCAGATCCCCACAGAAGTTTCTCTGCTACGGCAAAGTGGGCTGTTAAGAAAAAGACTATGAATGCTATAGGATTTCAGTTTATTTCTCCACAAACAGCACCCATGGGAGCATAAGGCGGGTGCTTTTCAGCTCAGGTTTTGCTTTTGGAAGAGGCCACCAGGACGCTGGAGACTAGAGGGACTGACTGTAGGTGGGGCCATCTGACAGAGAACTAGTGGTCTTGACTCCACTGCATCAGATTCTTGGGCCCAAGAAACCAGTATGGCCCCTTGCTCAGGTAGCCAAGTGTCCCTGCCCCCACCCTCCTGCACTGCCCCATCACTGAGCATGGCGGGTGGGAAGTGGGAGAGACTGGTTGGTCCTGAGGACCAGCCAGCCTGGGGGCGGGGCGCTGCATGGATGAAAAATGAGAGAGGGAGTCATTTGTCATGTGGGACCAGACTGTCTAGGCTAGAGGCCAGTTCTCCCATGGCCCATGACAGACTAGGAAGTGCAAGGATGAAGTGGCTCTGTACCGCAGCTCACGGCTGTCGGTTCTGTCATGAGGGAGCCCTGTAGGTCCCGAGAGACAGAACTCTTAGGCGTGGGGGGCTTTGAGCCTTCGTGATGGTAAGCCCGTCACGAAGCAGCCGGTGGTCCTTGTGCCTTCTCTCCTCAGCACTCCTAATGGGAGTGGAGAGTCCCGACCTGACCTCAGCTCTCTCATCCCCCTTAGGCCTCTCTCTGAGCGCCGGAAGTTTCTTCACGACAACATGGTGGAAATTCCCAACCGGATCATGTTCTCAGAAATGAAGCAAGTCACTGTAAGCAAAGTCCCCGCCCCACACATCAGCCTAGTGGTTTGAAAGCAGGGCAGAGCCTCTTGGTCAAGATGTGGCTGGGACAAGAAGTCCTTTTCTTTTGGGGGCTGCCACTGTGTGTAGGTTATCTCCCAGTCTCTACGTAGGATGGCGGGGCCTGAAACATCCTACCTAGCTGGGCTCCCTGTGTCTCAAAGCTGCACCCGGGTTCTGGTTGGGAGGACCCCTGCTTTGCAAGACCTTTGTTCGACCTGTTCAAGTCGGGGTGTTTGGCAGTGGACACTTGACTAGTGTACAAAAGGGAACCACCTCCACCTCCCCGCCACGGCACCCTCTGTTCTGACAGCAACCTCAGCATCTCTCTGTTGCCCTCAGAAAGCTTCAGACTTGGTCGACATGATAAACCGGGTCATCCGAGAGGGGCTGGAAGGGCTGGTGCTGAAGGACGTGAAGGTGAGCGCTCCGCCCTCTGCTTGCTCTCCCCGCAGCACTCCGCCTCCCCCAGCCTCCCCAGCCCCAGCCAGCAGAGGGCGGTGGCGGTCTGAGGTGGCCAGGGCTGGGTGCCACAGGGGGGCCTTGCCAGGGCCTCCAGTAGCTCTGTTCTGGACCTAGAAGATGGACTTGTTTGTGTTTCCCCGGCCCAGAAGCTAACAGGCCCCTGCCCAGGGTGAACTGAGCACTGTGGTAGAGCCAACAGGTAGAATGAAGAGGAAAAATCCCCCCCTCCTGGAGTTTCCATTCTAATTTGGTCTCTGTCCTACTCTTCTTCCCTCAGGGTACCTATGAGCCTGGAAAGCGGCACTGGCTGAAAGTGAAGAAAGACTATTTGAATGAGGGGGCCATGGCTGATATGGCGGACCTGGTGGTCCTTGGGGCCTTCTATGGGCAAGGGAGCAAAGGTCAGGATGGCCTCTTTGAAAGGCACCACTCAAAGTGTAGCTGGCCGCCTCACTGGCTCCATCTGCCAGCACGTCCGGGCAGGACTCCCACTGTTCTGCGATTGAGGGCCCCAACCCTCATGTCACCACAGGCAGGGACCCCTGAGCGTGACAGACCCGGGCGGGCAGAGGTCAGCAAGAATACCCCATGCTGGCTGGCACAAAAAGCTCACGGTCCGCTAGTTCCTGGGGCCTGGCCACTTTCTCCTCAGGGAAAATCCCCAAATCTAAATGGCAAGGAAGCTGGGGTTTGAGGAATCAACTGTGTGTCAGACACTACACTGTTCAGTTTTTTTTTTTTTTTTCACTCCTTACCAGAGCCTTAGAAGTTGTATGTGATTATCCCCAATTTACTGAAAAGGAAAATGGGCTCTTAAAGGTCAGACTCCTCCAGCTGGTAGGAGGTAGATCCAGGAGGTGAGCTCAGCGCTCTGATGGCAGGGCCCAGGCCTTTCCCCTCCGGCAGGCTGCCCCTCACTGGCACATGGGGCTGGCAGCAGTGGCCCCTCCGTCCACAGCTTAATTCATCCCCCCTCCCAGGTGGCATGATGTCCATCTTCCTCATGGGCTGCTATGACCCAAGTAGCCAGAAGTGGTGCACGGTCACCAAGTGTTCAGGAGGCCATGATGATGCGACCCTTGCCCGCCTGCAGAAGGAACTGGACATGGTAAAGATCAGCAAGGTAAGGAAGGAGGCTGCTTGGCCCAGGTCTCTGGACTGGACCTCATCCTTGAGACAAACAGGGATTGTTCACCTGTGTCCACAGAGAGGAGAGCTCCTGCTTGGCCATGGGAGAAGTACTAGGCCTTCAGAGGCTTGGAGGGCCCACCTTGTGGAGACTGGCCTGCATGCCCCCAGGACATACCCTCTCTGGGCAGGGAGGATCCCGTGGGGTGAGGGGCAGCTTTTTGTGAAGTCACAAGTTTTGGTTTGGTTTGGGAATGGCCCAGGGTAGCATCTTTTCTCTTCCAGGATCCCAGCAAAATACCCAACTGGCTGAAAATCAACAAGATCTACTATCCTGACTTCATAGTCCCAGACCCAAAGGTACCAGCCCAGTGACCTGAGGCCCTCCAGCCTGCAGAACGAACTTGCAGATTCTCTAATGCCACAGAAATGCCCTCTCAACCTGATGGTCCAGCCCCTGAGGGGTACTGGACTGTTCAGCCCAGGGACGGGCTAGTCAACAGTGAGGAATCATCCTTAGTAGAGGGAAGATGAGACTAGACACACAGAAACGGTTTGCTCTAGAAGTGACCTGGCCCAGTTCCTTCCAGGCGCTGACAGAGAAGCTGGGGCCCAGGGGAGAGCTGGAGCTTCCCTCTGGTCATATAGCAGCAGCAACAGTGGGATTAGAACCTATCTCCCCATTAGCCAGGGCTTTTTGGGTTTCAGCTAGTCTGTATTGCTTCTAGCTGGTTGGGAGAGGTTTTCCTTCCTAACCAGCGACAACTCCCAACAGAAAGCTGCTGTGTGGGAAATCACGGGGGCTGAGTTCTCCAGGTCTGAGGCTCACACGGCCGATGGGATCTCCATCCGATTCCCTCGTTGTACCCGGATCCGTGACGATAAGGACTGGAAATCTGCCACTAACCTTCCCCAGCTCAAGGTGCCAGCTTACACTGTGTGTGTGTGTTCCTGTCCAGAGGGAGGGCAAGGAGGGAGACCTGCCTGTCGCAGGGCCGGGGGGCCACAGCACCTCCCAAGAGAGATCTGTGTTGCTCTCAGCCTTTTGCTCAGGACTTGGCCCCCGGCTGTAGTCTCTTGCTGAGAACTGGGTGGGGACAGAGAACAGTGATTTGCATGGATTACCCAAGAAATGGCCCAAGTTTAGAAAAGCACCAAGAAAGTCAGGTGCTTTTCCCTGCCATTTGTCCCTCCCCTTTTTGTTCCTCAGCCACATGCGACTGAGACACACCTCCGAAACCAGTGGCCAGGAACACCTGATATTCTCTGTTGCCTCCCCAGGAACTGTACCAGCTGTCCAAGGAGAAGGCGGATTTCACTGTGGCCGCTGGAGAGGAGGGAAGCTCCACCACAGGGGGCAGCAGCAGCGGAGAGAACGGGGGTGTCTCAGGGCCTGCTGGGGCTCGCAAGGCCAAGAAGGTGGGAGGGAGGCCGAGTAGCCCCAATGACAGAGGCGGTAAGAGAAGGGACGGGGCTGGGGTGGTGAGTGTGCCTTGAAGGCAGAGCTCAAAGGAGGGGGACCCAGTCTCACGTTCCAGCTCTGAGAGCATGTGATTCACTCTATCCCAAGCAGCAGACATGGAGTGCTTTCCCTCAGTGTGTCTGGCTGTCGGCCAGAAGCCGTTCTCTAGGTCCCTTCCATCTGCTCTGCACCTGAGTAACAGGCCCCTAGGAGAGACCCCTCCGACCCAGTGAGAAGCCACCCCTGAGCTACAGGGCTTATTAGCTTACAGCCTCCCCTCCCCCCGCTCACCCACATTCCTGGCAGAGCCAGATCTTGGCCCTCCCCCCCCAGCCTCATCCTGAGCTCTCCCCCTGCAGGCCACAAGTTGATAGCCAAACCTTCCCCTGTGAAAGTGGGGCAGAAGCGGAAGGCTCCCGATGAGGCTTCATGCCCAGCAAAGGTGAGCAGAAGAATCCTGGTGTATGGCAGTGGGGCAGGCGGTGGGGACCAGTTTGGCCCAGGGCTTGGTGATCCCAACCTCCTCCACTTGGGCACTCAGAGCTGAGCGAAAGTGTGGTGGGGGCTAAGGGCCAGCCCCCCTGGCCTGCTCCAGCTGCACACCTGGCCTGGGCAGGGCCTGCAGGACACTGCTCCACCCTCCGCCCTCTTGTTGCCTTGCAGAGGTGGCCGGCCAAGGAGCAGAGAGGAAGAGCTATGTCAGCAGGCAGGAGCTAGAACAGCCCAGGCTAGCTGAGAAGCTGCAGGGACCCACCAGACTGCTGGTCCCATTCACAATTTACATTAAAGGGGAGAAAGCCCAGTCTGGGTGGAGTGCAGCAGTGTGAGTTTGTTCTTTGGGCCAAAGCAGCGGGCACGGGGCACTGGCTTGATGATTGTCCTCCTACCTTAAAAGCCTTTCTCCTGTCATGCTCCCTTGTCCATCATTGGTTTGAAAACCACTTCTGAGCACCTACTGAATCCAGGAAGGAGGCTCAGCCCTGGGGGAGCTGCTGGCCTAAAAGGCACATAGGCAAACATTTGATCTCTCTACGGTGTGATGAAGCCACATGATCCTCCCCTACTCCCCAAGCCAAAGCAAGCATCAAGTTTGGCAGGCAGGGCCCTGAACTCAGTCCCCAGAAGAAGTGTGGAACCTTTCCCATCATTTCCCTGCCTGAAGCCCCTGAACCCATGCCCAGCAGAGCCGGGCTCCTGACCCCCCCAAGTCTAGCTCCTTGTGCACCAGTGGACTGCTCTGCCAGCCAGCATAGCATTAGTGAGCCAAAGAGCCACTGGTCTGGCCCACAGGACGGAGCTTGGACATAGATTTCCCTTCTCCAGGGCCCCAGTGTGGGCCTGCTCTTCCTACTCTTCCTCTAGACAGGGAGGGGCATGTGTCCTCTGTAGTGGTAAGGGACTGGGGTTTCGCTGCCTGGTCCTTTTCTCCAGTAAATTCTCTGTGCTCGCGTCCTGATGACTAGGCTCCCTCCATCTCTGGCTCTTGTTCTGCCCTCAGACCTTCCTCTCTGGTCTGCACTCTTCTGGGTGGAGACACACCCTGACCCCTGTGCGTTTGCAGGTGCTGCTGGACATCTTCACTGGCGTGCGGCTCTACCTGCCACCCTCCACGCCAGACTTCAGCCGTCTCAGACGCTACTTTGTGGCATTCGATGGGGACCTGGTGCAGGAATTTGACATGGCATCAGCCACACATGTGCTGGGTAGCGGGGACAAGAACCCTGAGGCTCAGCAGGTCTCCCCGGAGTGGATTTGGGCGTGTATCCGGAAACGAAGGCTGGTAGCTCCCTGCTAGGACTGCAGCCCTCCCTGGCTGTCGGCCACACACTTCCCTACCACACTGCAGGGCTGCGCTCTGGCTGGGGCAGGCTGGGGCAGGCAGGCACCGATGGCAAGGACAAGGTGGGATGGCCTTTCTTCAAACAGTGCATCTTCCAGAACCCACCAGCCGTGCTTGGTCTCTTCCCGACCAGGACTTAGGTGCTGTGGGTGCCACCAGTGAAGTCCGTTTCTCCTGCTGGTTTACATAGATCTTTCAGATCTGGGTGCTGGTTTGGTTGTCTTTTTGTTTTCTTTTAAAAGAAGCTTTTTTTTTTTTTTTCCTCCCCTATAAATATCTTGCAGTTACCCTGCCCTTGCTCCCTCCCCCCCTGTAATTCTCCTAGCTGGAAAGGCCGGAGTGAAGCTGGGCTGTTGAAGCTTCATCCACAGAGCCACCTACCTGCCTATTTCTTTGCAGGCTCCTTTTAAAGTTGTACTTAAAAGACCGCCCTCAGAAACGCTTCTGTTTGGCAGAACTTGTATTCAGCTTGGCCCTTTTTTGCCAGGAATGAAGCCTCATTTGAAAGAAAACAAAATGAATTTTAGAAATTAATTCTCTGTGTTCTCTTCTGGTAGGGTGGTGTGGGCCCTGGTTTGAAAGGAGGGAACCAGTATCAGGAAAGTGGGGCCTTTATAAAGAAGGGGGAGGTTATGTGAGCTGCTCCTCTGGGAGCTAAAGGGCTCCTGGAGAGGATATGCCTACCCCAAATCTGGAACCAAGAGGGGTCTTTGACATAAGCCCACCTCTGAGGACAAAACCGATCTATCTTCTCCCATGTGCAATTTAGTGGAGCAGAGTGCAGTTCAGGAGAACTTCTCATGGCAATGTAAATGCCCTGTAAATCCCCACTGGCCAAAATGAACAAGGCACAATTTACCACATGGCAGGTGCCCAGCCACTGACACAGCAGGAGCTCAAGGTTGGGTTCTACTTCTGTCGCACACAGCAGCCACGTGGACCGGGCAGGGTGGGCCTGGTTACACCCTGAGCCGGGTCTTAAGCACCTGAGCTTCAGTCCCTCCAGGAGGGGAGAGGAGCCAGCACCTCAGTCACAGGCTGCTGTGAGGTGCAGGTGACCTGGGGCCGGGTGCGCGGTGGTGTGGTGTAGGAGCGTGCATGCGTGCACACCCCACCCCACAGAGAGGGCCCGGGGCCTCCCCTCCCCAGCCCCGGGCCAGCGCAGCAGGCTCACGGGGTGGCCGCCATACCGTTACAGGCTGGCTCCGGGCAGTTCAGGAGTGCTTGGAGTCCATACTCTTTTTTTTTTTAATTATTTATTTTTATTTTTTTTTCTTACTGTCGGCAGGCTGCCAGGCTTGTGTGTCCGTCCCCCGTGAGTTAAGGTAACCAGCCTCAGCCTCTGGAACATTCTGGAGTGTTTGGGCCTGTGACAGGACTGCGGCCTCCCCAGACCTTCCAACGGTGTGCTCCCCTAAAGGAATATTCTGCCGGAGGCTGCTTGCTGGTCAGCCCAGAGGCCAGCTCTAACCCGACCTGGGTCTCTACCTGCCAGTTCAGATGTGCTGGGAGGAAGGGGCAGGAAGGGTTGGCACTGCCCTCTGACCCAGCACGTGGGTGTTTTTGAATAGGCACCATTCAGTCTAGTGGCAGGATGGCGAATAAGACTCTCTTTCTTCTATCCCTTGTGCAGACAAAGGCCACTGCTCCTTTGAGCAGTGACCTAGATAAATTTCCTTCCCCCTCTAGCCTCCTCAGGCCAAGGAGCCAGCCGGGGCAGAACAAAGCACTCCCCTTGGCATTTAGCGGCAGTCGCTGCCCTAGACCCAGCCCCACCAGCCTTGACTAGCAGCTTCCACTCAGGGTGCACCCTCACAGCCAGGGGGTGGGCAGCCGCAGCCGCAGCCGCAGCCGCAGCGGGCTTCTCAGTAATGAGCATGGTCTGTAGGCCCTTCCCGGCCTTGCTGCGCACTCACTCCGATCCCGTTAAAGGTGCTAGGTCTCTTTGCTGCCAAGACTGCAGTCCAATTCTGTACTTCCACAGACCCTGGGCAGCAGCCTCTCACACCTCCCCGGCACAGTGCTGGGAGGCCTGCCCTCTGAACCTTTATTTACACGCTGCTGGCTGGCAGCAGACCACAGATCATCCTGGGGGCCCAAGGGTCAGTTCCACAGACAGCCTCCAGCCTTTACAGCCTCTGGGCAAGATTCTTTCCTCTTCTCCCCTCAAGTCCCAGGGCAGCAGTGCATGAACCCAACTCTCCCCATACAGGCCATCTGCCCCTTAGGCTGGCCCGGCTTCTGAGCCACACCAATATACAGCTGTATCCCAAAGCTACTGCCTATGTCCCAGGGGCACCTGAACACTTAAACTCGGCACGCTGGCTGTCCTCACATTCCTTACTACCCACACCTTTACGGCCCATCTCTACAAGATCAATGTCAATGTCTGACGTTACTTAAGTGTTTCTTTGTATTTGGTCTTAAGGTTGGCCGTTTTTGCTACACAACTCCCATCCTCTTTTAGGCTATTCTGTGGCCTCTCCCACATACTGGTTGTGAGATCCTGAATGAGTCAAACCACAACCATACTTCAGTCTCCTCATGTGTTGAACAGGAGGCCAAGCACTTCCACAAATAATGCAGTCTCTCAAGAGCATGCCTGGGTGCACACAGCCTGGGGTCAGCTTGTGGTCTATTAGCTCTTTTGTCAGTCTTAACTCTCAGACTTCTGGTGTCCTCCCACCAGATCAGACAGGTATCTAGAGTGAAATTTTATTACAAAATTATAAAGCAGAGCTCTGTAACAAAAAAAATATATATATACATTTGGGTTTGCTTTAACACCCAAGTAAGTCTGAGAGAATCAATATAAGCCACTTGAAGTAACACATTCACATCCAAAAGATTGCAACAAATTTATACAATATATGTTGTGTACTAATTCCTGTACAGCTTATTCTTACTAGCTTGGATCCAGCTATTCCAATATATTATGAACCAGTCAGCTCTCCCAAGTCTTAAAACAAGTCTCAAATGAAATCTCAGAACAATCACGGAAGCAGCCATGGAATAATTGAAAGAATTGGATGTTTCATGATCATTAAGACCAAGGACCCATGAGGGGCAAAAGAGAGTACTCAGAGATAAAAATCAAGTTTCCTACCTAAGTTAGATAGTAACTGAAATGGGAACTTGGAATTCCCAGCCTTTATTTGGTGCAATAATGATTAACAACAACAAATCAGGGTTGTTTGACACCTTTTTTCCTGAATGGAAACGAAACCTTCACCAAAAGAGATCAAAAGATTTAAAGGCAAGTTCTCCAAAATGAGCAAATGTTATCAGTTCTAATTCTTAGTGAGGTAACTAGCCAACCTTCAGGATATTATTTTTAACTTCTGTCTAGGAGGGAATGTGGGAGGTAGGGAGAGGTAAGGCCTCAGCAGTGAAAGCAAGTTTTGGGTAGGGAGAGAGCCAGTTTCTGCCCTGAAGTTATTGCTAGATCTTAACTGAGTTGCATATATAGAGACCTGTTTCACAGTGGAATCAAAAAGTAGCTGAATCCCCTGCTAAACCGGTAGGCATTGTAAACTGTAGTATGTACTGTCCAGCAGAAAGGTGAAAGGTCCTCTTCACAGACCTATCTCTTGATTCCCCCAATTCCTACAAAGGCTGTCAGAATCAGATCATCCAGGACTTGGTGTAATGTCAAGGTAAGCGGCCCAGTGTGCAACTGACAACTACTTTATGAGAGAATTCCATTCCTCTGAAGTGGAATAGTGGTTGATGATGGGGGAGAGCCCAAGTATATCTGTACCAATAAACAGGTGCCCTGGGAGGTTTCCCACTGTTTTCCAAAGTCATGACTGGTTCCAGTCGGAGAGAACTTGACTGCACATCTGGGGAGGGGAACTGGGGCCCTGCCAAGGCCCTCAGATGCTTCAGGGTTGTGTAGTTCTCCCACTGGCAATGTCAGCACACAGCTCTTCTAGCACGTGTTTGTTCATGGCTAAACTTCTCCAGCAAACTTAGGCCCTTTGGCTCTTCCAGTGGTAATAACCACCCTAGGAGGGCTCAAGACTACCCTCTAACTGGTAAGGGCTTTCCTAAAGGGCTGACAGAAGGCTGCTTCCTTACCTGCCTTCAAGTCAGTAGGCTGAGGAAGGAAATGGGAGCAGGGGGCCCCATGAACCCAGGGGTTGAGACTTGAAGCTGTCTGCTTGAGGGCTGAATCCAGTCCCATTCAGTACCTTCAGACACCCCAGAGGGGCTCAGGTTTGGTCTCTAGGAATTTCAGAAGTCTAGCTAGAAAGAAGTAAGGCTCTTTGCATTTGTTTCTATGCCTTCAGTGAGCCCATGTTTAAAACCTCCATGGAAAGAGGGGCTTCATTCTCAGGGCAAAGTGGTTTACAATCCCTCTGTGCTGGAGAAATCAAAGCAGAAAGCTACTGCTTCCATCCAACACTTTCCCTTTTCTTGTAAACTAAAACTAAGGATGGCACACAGGCCCTAAGAGAAGCAGAGATGATCCACACGCCACCGTGCGTGCACACACGTGCGTACACACACACACACACAGATTCCCAACTTCCCTGCAGTCTCGGAGCCGGGTGCTCTGCAGGCTCCCAGGGTTAGCTCAGGAGACTCCCCGCTTCCAAGCTCAGCACTTAAGGAAGCAACTCTAGATGACTGAAATTTTTCAATAGCGTTTGTGTTTCATTTCTCACCAGAGAAAGTTTACTGGTCCAAATTTAGTCCTAAGGAGGATCACTATTGGTCTGGTAACCTAACATCTTTTTGGTCTGAACAAACAATGGAGTTTAGGCAATGTAGCAAGAGATTTTAGCAAAGCTGGTTAAAGCACAGAAAGCCAGAGAGACCTGAAATAAATCCAATGTGCTGGGGAGGAAGAGAACCATTAATGCACCAGGACTTCTGACCAGTGAAACACACAGGCAGCTCGGGGATGGGCGGGGCACAGGAGGAAGGGTGAAACTGTTAGGTTTGCAGACGAAGGGAGGAAGATACGGTCCAAGTTCTGGAAAGTCCTCTCTCCATCAATTACCATCATTACCCCAAGATCACTGAAACAAGGACTTGCCCATGCGATCTGTACCAGTTCCCACTGGCCTCAGGCTCTGCCAGCCAAGAGGTGCACCTCCGTGGCAAGATAGGCACACCCAGAGGTGACAGCAATTTTGCTTGCCCTGGTCTTAGGAGCACTGCAGATTTTTTAGCCTGCCCCTCTCCAAGCTGGCCAATCTGGAGCCCAGACACTGCAAGCTATGTCCCTGTAAGGCACTGAAGAAGCCGGTGCAAGCCCTCAGGATCGGAAGACATGTACAGCTCGGATCACATACTGCCGGCAGATCGGACACTCATTCATGCGCTTGCCACACTTGGTACAGGTTACCATGTGGCCACACTCTAGCAGAACACAGTCAATGGGCGAGTCCATGCAGATCCTACACAGGTTCTCCTCCAAGCCGGGCGGCACTGCTCCCCCTGTACAAACACAGGGCAGAAAGAGGGCAGAGGCAAAAAGAAATTGTTAAGTGCATGGGGCGGCAGGGGGATGGAGGAGGGAGACCAGGCATGTTGGAACAAACCCCCAAATCCACACACTGCCCTCAGCTAGAACTCCAAGCAAACATTCCCCCCAATCAAACCCAGCTGCTTTTTGAAGCCCACCCTCTGCAGGTCAGGCTGCAGATTTGGAGAATAAAGTACTTGGAGATCAAATACAACCTAGAACAGGAAAGCTAAATAAGGCAAAGTCCTCAAAAGCTTAAAAAATTTTTCAGACAGTTGAGGCTCTAATATAGTAAGTGGCACTTAGCAACTCGTTATCCCTTGAGGCAGATCATGCTAAAAAGATTTTTTTTAAATGGTTAAAGGGGGGATCCCTGGGTGGCTCAGTGGTTTGGAGCCTGGCTTTGGCCCAGGGCGTGGTCCTGGAGTCCCGGATCGAGTCCCACATCAGGCTCCCTGCGTGGAGCCTGCTTCTCCCTCTACCTGTGTCTCTGAGTCTCTCTCTCTCTCTTTGCATCTCTCATGAATAAATAAAGAAAATTAAAAATAAATAAATAAATAAAAATGGTTCAAGGGCAGCCCCGGTGGCTCAGCGGTTTAGCACCACCTTCAGCCCATGGCGTGACCCTGGAGACCAGGCATCAAGTCCACATCAGGCTCCCTACATGAAGCCTGCTTCTCCCCTTGCCTGTGTCTGTGCCTCTCTCTCTGTGTGTCTCTCATGAATAAATAAAATCTTAAAAAAAAAAAAAAGGTTCAAAAAAGTGTAATATAAATGGAACCGTAGTGAGTGGTTCATGAAGGATGGGCAAGGCTTATAGGTAAACATATGCCCAACTGAATACAGCCAAGGATCCCGGGGGTCCCTCCGTGTGGTCTTGCAACCTTCTCCGGGGCTCTCTCTGAGGAGGCTAGCTGCTGGAAGAGCCCAACAGAGATCTGGGCTCCCTCCACAGTACTACCCCCACAAAACTTTCCTCATACCCCATACCTGCTGCTCACATTGGATTAAAATGTTTAAACTCACCCACTACATTACGAGCTCCTTAATACAACAAATTCAGTCAATTTCTGCATCTATATACTTAGCATCTGTTAGGTGTTCTGAGGTTAGATATTTCTCTTCGAATCCCTAAAATGCCAATCATGTGGTAGGTGTTCTCAAAATATCTGATAAATGAACACCTCCCAAGGAAGCGATAACAGCTCACATTTGCAGAATGCTGTGCCAGGGGCAGGGTCCTAAGAGCTTTGCATATTTTAACTCTGAGTCCTCGTAAAAACTATGAAGTAGGTACTCTCATTACTCATTTTATAGATGAGACAACTGAGGCCAAGGAGTTAAAGTGGCTTGCTCAAGGACACACAGTTGCTAGGCAGAGTCAGGATTCAAATCCAGGCTGGCTGGCCTTCTGGGCAGGCCTGAGGACAGGGACTATCAAAGTAGTATTAACTGCTCAGGGCACAAAGTACTCAGTAACAGCTGGCTGGCTCATGTGGCTGGGGAGGTGCAGAGGGCATGGCCAGTATCCTAGGTTAGTGCAAACACAGAAAAACCTTCATGTCCCAAACCCAGCCATTCCCAGCATGTTTTAAATGGTAGCCTAAAGCCCCAGGTGGGGCTCCATGCTCAGTGCAGAGTCAGCTTGAGAGTCTCTCCCTCCCCACGCTGCGCTCTCTCTTGTTCTCTAAAAATAATAAAATCTTCAAATGGTAGCCTGGGGCAGCCCTAGTGGCCCAGCAATTTAGTGCCGCCTTCAGCCCAGGGCCTGATCCTGGAGACCTGGGATGGAGTCCAACACGGGGCTCCCTGCATGGAGCCTGCTTCTCCCTCTGCCTGTGTCTCTGCCTGTGTGTGTGTGTGTGTGTGTGTGTGTGTCTCACAAATAAATAAATAAAATCTTTTTTTTTTTTTTTTTTTTAAAGGGAACCCTGGGTGGCGCAGCGGTTTAGTGCCTGCCTTTGGCCCAGGGCGCGATCCTGGAGACCCGGGATCGAATCCCATGTCGGGCTCCCAGTGCATGGAGCCTCCTTCTCCCTCCTCTTGTGTCTCTGACTCTCTCTCTCTCTCTCTCTCTCTCTCCCTCTCTCTCTCTCTCTCTCTCTCTGTGACTATCATAAATAAAAATTTTTAAAAAATTTAAAAAAAAAAGGTAGCTTGAACAAGGTAGCCCTAAGTAGGGAGCTGTCTTTGTACCAGTCACCTGCCCCACTCCACAGAATTATCTGTACTCTGCTGCTCTGCACTTTTTTTTTTTCTCCTGCTTCCTGGACTATACAAAAAGTCAAGCAACACTTGAAAAGGGGCTAGTTGTAAAAGGCAGTGAAACTCATTACCCCTTTGAGCAGCTATTGGCCCTAAGAGGGATTTGGAAAGGACTCAACTGTACAAATAATGTGAGCTGGAGTGAAGTACAGAGTATCATATTAAGGGGCACCCAGGTGGCTCAGTTGGGCATCTGCCTTCAGCTCGGGTCATGATCCTGGGGTCCTGGGATCAAGTCCCGTGTCAGTTAGGCTCCCTGCTCAGCAGGGAGTCTGCTTCTCCCTCTCCTTGCTCTTCCTCTCTCTTGCTATCTCGCTATCTCTCAAATAAATAAAATCTTTAAAATACATATATATTAATTTTCTTAGGACTAACAAACTCATCAACTCAGTTGCCAGCATTCTCCCAGGGAATCAGAAAAATGAAGGAAGGGGCACCTAGGTGGCTCAGTCAATTAAGCATCTGCCTTTGGCCCAAGTCATGATCTTGAGGGGTCCTGGGATGGAGCCCATGTTGGGCTCCCTGCTCAGCAGGGAGCCTGCTTCTCCCTCTCCCACTCCCCCTGCTTGTGCTCTCTGTCAAATAAATATAATCTTTAAAATTTTTTTTAGAAAAGAGAGAAAGAAAAAGAAAGGAAGACAGCAAGTAGAATAGCCTGATCTTAGTATCAGGGGCCTGGGTGGGTCTAGAATCCCCAAGGGTTTTGGGGAGCTAAGAAAGCAACTCTTCAGGATTTATCAGCCAGAAGACAGCCTAATTCTGAGTGAAAGGCCATTTTGCCAATTTACAAATTTGGAGTCAGTCTTCTGAAAGTTTAGAATGTTTTGTTGGCCTCAACACCACTTTGAGAACATTCTCTCTTGGGGGAAGAACTCACAACCACATAGCCTTCAAGCTTTCAGAAAGGTAGATTTTTAGAATGGAGCCCAGACCCAGCGAGACACCTGCAAGTGCATTCTGGGGTACCTGAAGGCCCAGTGTGGTCTATAAGACACAGTTGGGGGTGTGGCAGCAGAGATGCTCATGCTTGTGCCCAGAGAGCACCACATGTGACACATGTATAAACAAGGCTCAGGTTACTTCCCTTCTGATTGGTTGGTAGCAGAAGTTGTTAAGCCTCAAGTAATGTCCCTGATGTACCCACAGAGAACCTCCCCACTCAGACCAGAACTGAGTGAAAACTAGGAAGCAGCAGGAATATGAAAAATGAACCGAATGTGACACATGCCACCACTCACTTTGTTAAATATTTTACAAATGCTGGCTCCTGAGCTCTGGCAACCCAGAGACATGCAAATCAATTTGCCCCTGGGTACGCTGCCACTCTACACCCTTCCCAGCAAGGCAAGAATGAGAATTTTTAAAGATGCTGAGAAGCCCTGCTTCCGGGTGCATTTCCCCCACACTCTCTATGGATGTCAATATGCTCAGAATTCTTCGACTGCTAAGAGGCAGTAGGGTGGCAGAAGGGAAAGAGAAGAGCTCAGAGTCTAAGCACGGTCCCAAACAGAAGCAATACATACCATTTTGGTCTTCAGCACCACACACTGAAAGGGAAGAGAAAGAAGAGGTCTGAATTCGTGATGGCGTGAGAAGTCTCCAACCAGGCTGGCTTCATCGCGCACTGACTGCATCCCTGTTCAGGAAGCAGACTGGCCAAGAGCCAAGCCAGACGCCCGTCCTCCTCTCACATTCTGAGAACTCACGCATAGCCCCTGCTGGTGGGTCTGGTCCAGCAGAGAAAGGGATTCCATCGGTTTGCCTGAACAACACTGCCAAGTAGGCAGGACACCGCATGGACACAGTATCCTTTCCTATCGCTCCTGAAGCCAGCATTAAAGGAAGGAAGGAACCGTTGTTCCAGTCAGCCAAGGAGCCTGGATGAAGTTCCCAGGTGGGGCCACGTCCCACTCCCTAGGACCTCATAACTCTATGGGATTCTGGGGATGACCCCGGAAGGAAAACGTAGTCTGCGCCTAGCTAACTAGTCAAACTTCCCCAACTCTGATGAACTAGTGGGATAGGAAAGACTGAAATCTGACTTCAACCACTAACAGCATTTAAGGAATCAAAATGCTGATTGCAGGAGCTAAATCAGTTGGGTGAAATTTTAGGAAATGAGTTTAAAACAGCTAAACACGTTCCTCTTCTGCAGGACTTCTCTGCCCTTCCTAAACCATCTACCCTAGTAACAGAGAGACAATGTCTTCCTCCCAAACTCACTTAACCACAAACCTGGACATTTTACTGGTACCAACTAAAAATGATATCATGTAGAATGCTTTGGGAAATGACCATGGGGAAAGCCCAAGCTCAGGCAGCATATATTCCCCTTGCACCATGTGTGCAGAGATTCACATCCTCATCTCCTGTTTAGAACAGTATTGCTGAGCTACTAGCAAGTATGGCGGGGTGACACGGGATGGGAAAGGCTATGGACTCAGTCCAGGAAATCTTCATTGCAAACCTGGGCTCTACAATAAAAGGGTAGTGGCTAGGGGTGCTTGGGTGGCTTGGTCAGTTGAGTGTCCATGCTTGATTTTGGCTCAGGTCATGATCTTGGGGTCATGAGATCGAGCCCTGGGTCAGGCTGCACACTCAGCAGGGAGTCTGCTTGGGATTCTCTCCCTCTGCCTCTCCCCTAACTGGTGCTTATGTGCTGTCTCGGTCTATCAAATAAACAAATAAATCTTAAAAAGGGAGGGGAAGTCATGTTAATAAGGCCTATTCACAGGCAGCTCTGGGGACTAAATAAATGTTTACAGTGCCTTGCCTGGTCCTGGCACTCCACTTCAAATGGCAGCTATTATTAGCCGGTGCAAATGTGGAAGGTGACTCCTGGCTTGGCTAAAAGCACGGAAACACTCAGGTTGATGCTATCACACTGCAGAGAGAGAGCAAGTGCTGCAGAGCCCCTCACCCAAGTGCTGGAGCCCCTTCTGGTCCTTGTACAGCCGCGTCACCCGCTCCATCAGCTCCCACTTCTCGCAGCAGCCCTTGTAATTGACGAAGTTGCGAGCCAGGATCTCCTTCAGCTGCCGCACGGTCAGACCTTCAATGTCCCCCAGGTCGGTGAGGTCAGACAGGGAAGCCCTCCGGCCTGGGACAAAGCTGTCCTCTGAGTCGACAGACTGCAACGGCAACAGTGGGATTGGTGGGCTCAGCTCTCACCTCCCAAGCTCTCTCTTGGGGGACCCCAGAGCATCCATCCGGCCACGCTTCTGGGGACTGACCTCGATGAGCAGAAAGAGCACCTGGCGTGGCACTTGGCAGTGCGAAAGATACCATAAACTCTTTCTGGCCCATGGTTTGGGGCTCGGGCGTGGCCAGCCCCAGGCCAACCAATCAGTGTGACACAGTAGAAGGGGCACCAGTGTGAGTCACATGGCCCTAATTTTGACTCCTCCACTGGCTGGTGCTAAATACTATGGAGCAAGTAGCTCACCTCCCTAAGCCTGTCTGCCCCTCCATCAAGGAGACATAGCCGTCCTACTGTACTGGGTTCCTGTAAAGATGAATGTAGCAGCACAAGAAAGCACCAAGCAGGGTGTTGGGAGAGAATTCTGCTGTCCTGTGGAAGAAGCAGACCTCCCTGGAGAGCACTGCTCTGTACAACACCTTGACCACAGCTTCGTGGCCCTGTCAGCTGGGCCTCTGGACTGGCCCGACCATGGCTGAGGTCTAACCCCCTCACATCCTCCCCTCCTCCTGGTTTTCTGACCTCCTTCCCTTCACAACAGCTACTGTGCATGAGAAGCAGAAGAAACAAACAAGATTTACACAGCAGCACCAGGAGCCTGCCCATTGGCAGCTTACAGAAAGTCAAGAGACTAGAAACGAATGGGCCATGAGGCTCCCTGGTCTCAACTGAGACCTCACAACTCTGCCCTAACAACTGGCTTCAAAAGCTAGTCTGGAAAGCTAGCACTAAGCTCTACCCCTGAAAACAGAATTGTAGGACTGTCTTCACAGACTGATTCTTCTCCACTTTGGAGTCTGCTGAGAAGGTCCTAATCACAGCCTGATAACACCACAGAAAGAGCAAACACAAAGGCACAGACCCAAGCAGAGGCCCCACCTGGGTCTCATCCTCAGCAGGTGCTCTGGCTGTGCTCTCCAGGTAGACGGGTTCCTCTTGGTCCTGAGACACATGGCCATTGGCCTGTGGGAAGAGAAAGGTGCCATCACATCCACAGAGATGTCCCAGGGGTTCACACAGTGTGGGCCTCTTCCCAGCTCACACCATATCCAAACATTCCCCTCTCCCCCAGGAATCTGGCATCTTGAACAACAAACAGCATTACAAAAGCCTGCTCCTTACTACTGACTTTGCTGGGCAGAGAAACAACATAAACATTTCAACTCTAAAACAAGAAGGTCACCAGTTCTGCTCATCACCAGGCTGGCAATCAGCGGCCACTCACTGTCAATTTGGTCTCACCCTGAACAATCCGAGTGAGAGGAAGACCACAGGTCTACTCCACTGCAGGACTGCTCTCTAACTACCATTCAGTTTCTCCTGGACACTTATCCCAAACCACCCTTCTGGTAACTCCCACCCACCATCCCTGGTTCTGCCCCTGGCATCAGTGCCCACAATTTTCTTACAAATTACAAAAAGTCTTCCTGCCTCCATGCTACATCTCCCTGGCATCCTCCTCTGACACAGATGAGACAGTTTTTAGACCTTCACCACTATGTTCCCTCTCCTCCATCCAGTCACTGTTCTTTCATTCTAGAAATAGGCTCCAACCAGCAGCACACACTAAGAATGATCTTGAAACCTGGTCAAAATTATTTTAATGTACCTAAGAATCTATTCACCTAAAACTATAAAGATAGATGTCTATGCTTAAGGAATTTAGAATTCTAACTTCTCCAAAGGTTTTTGTCAAACAGTAGTTAAGACTGTGCGCCTCCTGGTCTCATCACCACTTGGGCCACAAACCCCATAACTAGGTCCTCTTCACCTCCTCCCCTCTCCAGGTAAAGGGCCTCACGTGAGCCAGGAGCAAAGGTGTGTGTGAGCTCATGGCCTTTCCTCTAGACTCTTGGAACACCGATAAAGGGACAGCCCAGGAAACCATTCATCCCAGATTAGGATGTGTAACACAGCTGGTGAAGGAAATACAAATAACTACAATGGAAATGAAAAGTGGAAATCACCCAAAATGCCAAGTGGTGAGAAAGGCACACATGAAGCACACAGGTGTGGGGAGGCATCCAAAACTGTCTTCATCCATGCCTCTCATTTCCCCTTAGCTCTATGTAAATCTGGCACCCATAGGTCACCTGGTGTCACCTTGGAGTTATCACCAAGTGTCTCCGAGTTTAGCCTGTTCCTGAATGGATGCTTCTGTGGGTCCTTTTTTTCCTGGGAAGAGAAACTGGATCTCATACTGCAAAGAAACCATGCCCTGTCTTTTCAGTCTGCCCACAGGCTAAATCAAAATCTCTAACTTGAATCTGTCTACCGCTTTGCTGACTCCACCCCCTTCTTCCCTAGCAACCACTGCTAGGACACCAGGGATATGTGGGAGCAGGCGCTCTGGGCAGATCTGCATCCTAGGTGCAAGGAGCCTGCACAAGGCTTGACTTCCTCGTGTCTGTTCTCCTGGCTTAACGAATGCAGAGCTCACCAGGACAGAGTGTCCAAGCTGACACGAGGGCCCTCTAAAAGTACCAGAGAAGTACCCCATGCAATCTGGCACATGCGTGTGACCTGGAGGTGCAGTCTGGAATTTCTGGTTAATGATAGCAAGTTCAGAACCTATGGCTTTCACTGAAAAACTCACCTGAAGGTACCTTAGGGAAAAACAGTTTCCTCGAGTTACCCCTGGGCTCCCCATAAACAGAGAGAAGTGTTCTACCAAGCAAAGGGAGGCAGTCAGAGCAGGAGGTAGAACCTGTCGGCTGACAAGCCCCAGCATAGGGCAGAGTTAAACCCCAGCTGGGAGGGCACACACTATAGCTGCCGAGGGAGCAGGTGCAGTGCACTGTCACCCCGGCCTTTATGCCTCAGTGCCCACCACAGCTGATTCAGGGGCCCGGTCTTGGCAAACGGGGGGGGGGGGTCACAAACAGGAGGCAGCGGCCATGTCCCGCACGGGAGCTGACAACACCAATGCTCTGCCAGCTGGAAGAAGCTCACAGCTCTTCAGACATGCTGTCATGCTGGCCAGTCCTCCCAATGTCCTGGCAGGAGCAGAAGTACTCTGGGATTACTAACCCCATTTCACTGCTGAAGGCTCAAAGCCTGCCTGAGGTGACTGAAGAGTCAATGACAGAATGGATATGGAAAGGAGATCCTCTAGGTCCTAAGGCCCCAGCTACTGCCTAAGCCATGTAAACAAAAGGGTCACCGAGGCACTGAAGTGTATCTGTGGGATGCCATCACTCCTGATGCACTGGTTAAGGCTCCTGTCCTCACTCTAATCCAGCAGCAGGTTTGCACATCAACTTCCCTATCACAGGGCCTGAGGGCACCCGCAATCCTGCACTCCCCAAGGCCGGTTCACAGTTCAGCTCATGTGCTGCTCTTCACCTACCATGGCTGAGCCCCCTGGGACCAGGACAAGGCCCTTACCATTCCACAGCGTGCCAACCACAACCTCACCCAAACAGTGACTGGCAAGAGAAGCAGTGACCCTGTCTTGGTCAATGTCCCCCCTACTTCCCTCTCCATGTGCCCTGTGATGGTTACCAAGGCACTGAATTCCCTACCCACTAAGGAAGACCGTAACAAAGGTGAGCAGTCCGAAAGGAACCAAATTTGGAGAGTTAACAGTGAGTTTTCTCAAAATATTTCTGGAATGATGTTTTTTAAAAATTACTAGCTGGAATATGTAGGTCTTAAATACAAAACCCATAAAAATACCTGGAATCATGCATTATCATCTCCGAAAAAAAAAAAAAAAATAGGAGCCTGAAGTACAGAAAACATTCCTGCCTCAGTAGGCACAAGAGCCTCATGTAATCAATATGCTTAACCCTGCACCCTGCTTCCACACTGCAGGCACGAGAGCAAAACGAACCCCCAGAGCAGCAGAGATGGGCAGAGACAACAAACTGGTACGTACCTGCTGGGTTTCCTGAGCCTGGGCTGGGGTAACAGAGGTGGCCTGTGCAGGCACAGAGGGGAGGCTCGGCGAGGTAGGAGGTACAGTGCTGGCGTGAGGCTGGGTCAGGAAGGCCTGCTGCTCCAGGAAGCCCGGGGACAAGGCGGGGGCATGAGTCCTTCCCTCCTGAGAGACTACGGGTTCCTGGCCAAGCACCAACAACACGAGCTCCTCTTTCTCCCGGCACATTTCAGTAGAGATGTCATGAAGGCTGAGATAGTCCCTCAGGTCCTTCACCTTCATCTTCATGAGCTCCTCCCGCTGAAAGGCTGTGGCTCGGAATCGCTGGCAGAGGCGGCAGAGGCGGGGCCCATTCCCCACTTGGTTCGAACAGGTCATGCAGAAATTTTTCTTGCAGTCCAGGCAGGTCTGCTGCTTAGACCAAGAGGCCAAGGAAACCATGTTAGACTGAGAACAGGATACAGAGGGAGGGGCTGCTGTGCCTAGGGAGACCTGCCCCAATCACTGCTGCCTCCTGTATGTCAGGGTACAAGCTCCCTTGATTTCAGGTTAAACTCCACTCCGAGGTGACAGATCCTGTCGTATGCATCTGTGTATCCACGTCCAGGATCCCACATTTATTATTCCAGTTGAGCCTTACTTTATTCATTGTGGATAGAGAAACAGAGACTAGTAATTACGATTACCAACTTTAGAATGGAAAACGCCCACATTTTCATTTAGTCTTCCTCCTCCGTTTATTATGGTATCACCCTGGATGTGGAACTTAGCCTCTCTGGCTGCATCTTCATCTGTAAAATGGGAGTGATAACAGCACCTACACCTCAGGATTGCCTTACAGTTAAGAGACAATGCATTTCGTGTATGTGACACATGATTCTTCAGAATTGCCTCTTATAATTATTATTGCTAGGCAACACGAGCTAACGTTGAGAGCCAAGATTCAAATCCTGAACTGATTCTATTTTATCTTTGAGAAAAGACAACAACTGTGTAAATATGATGGTGGTTATTACTAATATTAATTAAATTTACCAAGAAACTAAGTGCTAGAGCTTGTCATTCAATTCTCAAAGGAACCCCGCAAAGTATTACTATATCACTGTATCATGTATTGAAGTCCATCATCATTAATAATTAGTAACATACAGACGCCTGGGTGGCTCAGTGGTTTGGCGCCTGCCTTTGGCCCAGGGCATGATCCTGGAGTCCCAGAATCAAGTCCTGCATCGAGCTCCCCTCAGGAAGCCTGCTTCTCCCTCTGCCTGTGTCTCTGCCTCTCTGTGTGTCTCTCATGAATAAATAAATATTTAAAAAAAATAATAATAATAATTAGTAATGTACCTCCCTGTTTCACAGAGCAAGCAAGGCCTAAAGAGATTAAGCATCTCACTCAAGGGCAGGCAGGGAACAGCAGAGCCGGGGCTCACCTTCAAGGTCTGTCTGTGAAATGCCCACAGTCATGACCTTTCCACCAGGCCAAGCTGCTTAACTCAGCCCCGACCAAGCTGACAGCAGGACCTAGTCCCGGCCCTTGCTCTCCATCTCTAAAGTGCTACCCAGTGCCTCATCCACAGCTTCCCCACCCTGGGGAAGGCCCGCTCAGAGTACTGGGAATCAAGTGGCACATAAGACCATATTCAAGACAAATATTCAGACAGCTAAGGGGGACCCTCTGGACATGATCAGGGAGCTCTCATCTGTACAAGGACAGTGCCTTAGCCACTCCACAAGAGCACCCAGTAGGCAGATCGCATGGCCTGGCAGCAGCCACTCCCACAACGCAGACAACACACCACACGAAACCTTGCTCAACGCACAGGAAGCAAATCCTCAGCCTCTCGCCCCACAGGCTGAGCCAGCACAGTGACATCTGACTGAGCTCTTCCAGCCAAGAGCAGGCCACACTTCTGCAGTAGAGGGAATTCCCGGGCACACTGGGATGGTCCTGGGAGCACACTCACTAGTCCTTTAAAGAGATTAAGAACTTTTCATCCTCTGGTGACTTGAGCATAAAACCTAAATATTTCTGCTCCCTCTTTTCTAAATATAGAAAGCCGAGTTCAAACTAACAATAATGCCCTGGAGACTGAGATCCACATAGTGGAAATCCGAGACTCTCATGGGGGGCAGAACAGGCCTGCACAGCTGAGGTAGTGGCACCTACTTTTGTCCCAGTGTCACGCGCATCGTGTAGGGAAATGGGTAGAATGTTCACTACCCAGTTTTGACTATAAATACTGAAAGGCATTTCGAAAGGACACCTATGGAGCTCCCTCATTCTCTACAGTTACAACAACACAATAAAATGTTCAGGGGAAAAAAATAATTAATTAATTAATTAAAATAAAATAAAATGTTCAGGGGCCGACTTAAAAGGACGCGTGGCTCCACTAGAGTCGTAATGGTTCTGGGACCTGTAGCCACTCGGGTAGAAAATGGATGTTTTGAGGTCTTAGGGGTTCATTTATACCCAGAGCTTTTCTTCTGGGAAAGGAAATACATTTAGGATGACTGATAGTGCGATGAGGGGGCTTTGGTGTCATACACTGCAGGTCCTGAGGTGGAACATTACTTAAGTCCAGGCAGTCTGACAAGACCTAGCCTGACACAATTAAAATGCCCTGAGTTGCTCAATCAGCCAAATTTAAACAACTTTCTATTCTTTCTTCAAACGTGTACATATTGGAGGCAAGATCAGAATGCAAAGGCAGCAGCCCAGCTTCTCCGTATCCGGCTAGCCAGGGACTCTGAAGTCAACCGGCATCTGAAACACCCCCTCAGGAGTAAGACTGCGCTCCAGGCTAAAATCCCGGCTTGTGGAGACAGGCCGGAGCACAGGAGAAAACGGCTGTCAACACATGTGGGCATAATGAGCAAAGGAAACACATATGTATAAGCGCTAGCAAACCACGCAAACCAACTGAGTAACCAGGTAGCATGAAAGATGAATTTGTGCAGCCAACGTGCCTACGAACATGCCAAGAGCACATGCACACATCCAGCATCAAAAAGCGGTACCTCTGGCAGTCAGTGCCCTTCAGGGATGCTGGTGGGCTGCTTTCCTTTGCTCAACTGCCCTAGCCTCAATCCTACCCCCCATCCACAAAAATCCCCTGGCCCTTGCAGGCAGGCCAGCCCTCCTCCTCACCAGCCTCCCCACCAACAGCCTTCCCACAGCCCACTGGGAGGAAAAGGGCAGCCTGAGGAACCACACAGTCAGGATTCATTCCTGGCCGGCCCCCTTCCTAGCTAAGGGAACACTGTGCAAAACAAATCACCTCCCAGGGCCTCCAATTCCTCACCTATAAAGTCAGATGGTCAATCCATCACTAAGGACCACTGAAAGTATTATGTGACATAAGGTATTTAAAACCTTAGCATAAGGTGGGCAATCACCAAAAAAGGTAACACAGTCACCTTTTAATCCCTTCCCCCTTTGCCTCATCTCTGAGCTTTTGCCAGGACTACTCCCCCTCTCTTTCCACTCTCAGATTTCAAAATCCCATCCAAGTTTCTTTTTTTTTTTTTAAGGTTTATTTGTTTATCCATTAGACAGAGAGAGGCAGAGACACAGGCAGAGAGAAGCAGGCTCTTCAAAGGGAGTCCGATGCAGGACTCGATCTCCCGACCCAGGGTCACGCCCCAAGCTGAAGGCTGATGCTCAACCACTGAGCCACCCAGGCATCCCCCCATCCATGTTTCTAAGCACAACCTCCTCCTCCTCCTCTTTTGCCTCCTCCAATTGGTCCAACTAAAGAAGCTGGGCACCAACTCTCCTCCAAAATTGTCAGGCTGCTGCTGAACTGCATGAGGATATTACCAATACAGATGGGGTATTCAGCTTGCAGCAAAATCACAGCCTGCCATTCCTCTCCAAGACTAAAAACTCTAGGAAAAAAAAAAAAAAAACTCTAGGAAAGTAGCAGGTACATCCTACTTCTGTTCTCTCTAGATAGTCCTTAATGTTATCTGTGCTTTGTACTCAATGAGCACAATGTACACAATGAAGAAAAGAACAGTAGGATCCACATAATCATTTCCATTCAATCACTTATAGAAAACATGTGTTAAAAGCTTATCGTTGTTATTTGCCAAACCCTAAAGATAAAAATGCTGATCTAGTTAAGCACAAAATTACAAATGAAAAATTCTCATAGGAGAAATCATCCTTAATATTCATAAAATTCATTGTGAATTACACAAAATCAATACATATTTTTGTGGCAAGAAAATATTGTGGCAAAAGCCATCTTTTACCATTCAAATTGGAACTTCTCTTCCTCCCACAACCCCAGAAGCTCTTTTTGCTATAGAAGCTTTCTCTGCATCTCCTTTATCTCTTTCATACCTTTGTTCAAAATCTTTCTTGTGCTTCCTTGTTGTCCAGTGACTATAAGCTCCTCACTACAGCAGTCCTGGCCTCTACCACCTGATTCCACCTTGTTCCATCCTAATTCCCCAAGTATCATGTACTTGGCCAAACAGGCCACTCACAGTTCCCAAATACACCTCACACTTGCCCCATAACTGGTGCCTTCACTTCAGCCATGGCTTTGCAGATCAATAAACCTTCCTTCATTCAGCTAGAATTATCATCTAGTGTCTCAAATTACCAGCAATGTCTGATTCCCTAGCACTTAACTTACACAGCTGCTCTTAGTTCTTAGTAAATGTGGGCCTCCTTAGCCAGTTGGAGAACTCCCCGAGGGAAAGGCCGATTCAGCTTCATCTCCGCAAAGCTGTAACCTCTAGCTGCTGGCACACTGCCGGTGCCTCAGAACTGGGCCCTCAATGAAAGCCTTCAGCATGGAATTATCAACCACAAAGTAATAAAAACAGAAACTTTCCAGCTTACTTCTTCTTGCAAATTATTCTCAACTGCTCATTCCTTCCTTCCTTCATTGATTGATCGGTTGATTTAAAGTGGGGGAAAGCACAGAAGAGGGAGAAAGAATCTCAAGCATGCTCCACACTCAGTGCAGAGCCCAACGTATGGCTCGATCCCATGACCCTAAGATCACAACTGGAGCCAAAACCAAAAGTTAGACACCTAACCAACTGAGCCACCCAGGAGCCCCCCTCATTCATTTATAAAACTGTATTGCCTACTATGTGTCAGTCATTGTTCTACTAGACACTGGGGAGAAAGTTGTGAACAAAACCAACAAAATCCCTGTTCTATGTACCATATGAAAAGACAGGCCATCCACAAACATTTACATCAGGTGGCAATAGGCACACTACAGGAAAATAGAGCATCTTCCCATGTTCACCTACTCATCATTCTCTTCTGTGGGGGCAGTTTCCTTGCTCATTCATTCTCTCTTCTACCCAAGAAATGCCAAGAACTCGCTAGATCCTTGGTTCTCTTAACATGCTTTTTTCAACATGTTTAGCATGCCGGGTCCTGAGCCTGATCACCATCACTGTCCACTTTGCTCCTTCTCTATTCCCACTCCACGGAATGTAACTGATGTTTAAAATAAAGGTTCAGGGATCACTGGGTGGCAGAAGAATGTAGAATGCGGGAACTCCCAGGACTCACCCTCAGCCCGCGTCATGCTTGACCTTGGAGAACGTGCTGCCTCTGGGAACTGGCACAAGGATGGCCCACAGCCACGTGCCATCACCTGGCCAGGGACATCCACCACTGCTTGCTAATCTGGAAAATGTGGCTACCAAGTATTTCACATGAAATCGCTACAGTAAAGGAGCCCCAGTCTTTGTCCTGTCAGGGTCCTGATGTACCTGAAATGTCCTCGACACTGTGTGTGATACAAAGTGAGGCATTCGTGATAACCCCTAATGAAGGGACTGACACCAGTGCTTGCTGTGTGCTGACCATCATGCTACCATCAACCTGGTAGCCTATCTCATTTTATTCTCATGACCCTGGGAGATGCACACAACTGCTATACCCCCATTTTAGAGATAGGGGAAAGAATCTCCAGAAAGGTTAGATCATACGGCTATAAAGCAGCAAAGCTGATGTCTGAATTCAGGCCAGTCAGCTCCAAGTGAACGACACTGAGATGCTTTGCTTAAGGCTAACTTTCCTTTCCCACTTTAGTGAAAGGATCACGTGTGGGTTACCAGCCCTGCCTGCATAGGTAATGGCAAGCTGGCAGATAATATGGAGGGGTCAGCAGGCTGGCCCGAGGGCCCGAGGCTATAGCGACCGAGCAGGCCAAGAAGGCCAAGAAGTCAACACTCACCTTCCTGGCCATGTTTGCGAAGTGGGCCCCACAAGCCTTGCAGCTTGGTTCCGAGCCTGTTGGGGAAGGGAAGGAGCTATACCCAGGGTTGGAATAGGCCTGCGTTCTGGCTCCCTGGGGCGGTGGGGCCTCCTCAGGCTGTCCATCCAAGCAGAACCAGTTGCAGCAGGTTGCCCACATGATAAAATCTGGTGCAAGGGAGGAAGGGGAAAAGGTCAGAGTTAAGACATACATCTACCCCAATCCCCCATCCCAAAGGTGCAAGTGAGCAGGGACACTCATTCCACATCTGCTGCCAGAGCCAAGGTGAGGACATGTTTTCAGGAGCCACAGGTATCTTGCCACCTCCTGCTTCACCAGAGTTGCCACTGAATACAGGAGGAGAATAGACACCTGACCTGCCAGGACAACATGGCTACCAAATTGGCATACTACCTTTGAAAGATTGCTTATCCCTATTTTGATTTAGTCTGAGATCTAACTGCAGATTTTAAAAAACTGCCTTAGCAATTATAAGTGGCCTGAAGCCCACTTTATTTAGGCATATGAACTTGCTCCTAGAGCTCAGAGAGATGGAACTTTTATCATACATGTATGTGCATGCAAATATACACATATGATCCCATATTCACACTGACCATGGAGAGGAGGCATGATTCTTTCCTTTACACAGATGAGGCAACCCAGGCTCAGAGAAGTCAGGGTCACACAGCTAATAGATAACTGAGATTCCGAAAACCCAGGTCCTCTGACCCTAACCCTAACATTCTTTTCCTTGATGGTACTGCCCTTCTTAATTTCTCCTGTGCTGGTCAGCAGCACGGAATTACTCTAATGCTTGTACTTCCAATTCTATCTAAACCCCTCTCTCAGCACCTCTAACAGTTCGTTTGCACAGACATCCTTACCCTTTGTTTGCTACCACTACACCATAAATTCCTTGAGGGCAGGGATGACTTCCTCCTATATATACAGCACCCTTGCAGTGTCCTGCACACAGAAGATGCTCAACTAAGGCTTGTTGCCTTGCTGACTAGGTGCTAGATGCTGTGGATTTATTAAGAAGTTTGGGATATTATTCCCATTTTACATACCAAATACAGGTACCAGGGACAAAGGGGTAGATGATTTTTTAAGATCACAGAAGAAAATCCAATCCCTCATATGTCTGAATAATCTCATGTTGCAAAAGGGTCCAATGAAATTCCAAGCACTGCTGTGATAAGAATGTGCTTTTCTCAGTAGACCACGGCAGTCAATCTGGACATTCTGAGCCCGAACTCTCTGCTTCTAGAGTTAATAAATGAAACATTTAGTGTTACTACTCAATCAGCAGTTCACACAAAAGAACAGTACCTTCTGCTCTGCCTCCTGACTCATGGAAAGTGCCTTTGTTAAATCATAGTTCAAAGATGTGCTAAGCTGGAAAGCACTGAGAACAAGAAGCCGGCTCGTTCAACCTTAGTCATCTCACAGAGGAAAAGACAGAGGCCCAGCAGGGGGAACTAACGTCCTGGCCCACACAGCTGTACCCCTAGGTTTCCAGACAACTCTATGGCCTTTTTAGCTTCCACTTCCCGATACTCCTGATCCAGAATTCACTCACTTTTGCAAGTAGGTCCAATTCACACCTGTGGCCTCTGCTTGCCTGTGGCCCCGGCGACAACAGAGACTTTGACAGTCAGTGCCCAGGCAACAGGTGGCTCAACAAAGACTACTGCATGAGTCACACAATATTTAAATTTTAACTCACCACATTCTTCCATTTCCTACACATCAACAACATGTCTCTCTGACTCACTATGACTTGTCCAAAGCCTCTGAGGTCCCAGGAGACAGCCTTAATTGCAATGAAGAGTTCACATGGAATAACAAAGTAAAGAGCAGTTCAATAGAAGTTCTTTGCTGGCAAGATAATAGTGGTAGCAGCAAGAGTGGCCCCCCTCGGAAAGAGGGATTTTGCAATTCTCTAAATAACCTGTTGACAAAAGCATCTGAGACAGTGTATAATAAAACCAGGAAATACAGGATCTGGCATCAGAGGACCGGGCTCAATCCCTGCTTTACTGCACTCACCTTCAAGGAGTTAGACCCTTCTGTTCTTCCTGTTTCTCACCGAGACCTGCTCCAGGCCATGAGGCACTAACAAACACCAGTCGTTGCTACGAGCATTGTAACAATACTTCAACGACAGTTTCTCTGGCAAGGCTCAGATAAAAAGTAAACCTAGAGGTTTCCCCACAATCACCATTTGGCTTTCTGGAATTGTCCCAAAAAGAGACAAGGGAGATCTCTGACAAAATCAACAGAATGGGTCAAGTAACTGAAGGAGGTGGGGGCAAAGCAAGAGGCAGAGGGGCCCGGGGATGAGGCCGTGGGTGATCTGCTGACCTCTGTCAGAATCTCGATTCACCCATGTACACAACCTTTACTGAAGCCAATGCCTAGCTGTTTCCAGCAATAGGTAAGGCAGAGAACTGGCCCTTGAGGAGTCTGTGGTCTAGTAGAGGGGCAAGAAATGTAAAACCCAAACCAGAAATTTCAGGGTGATCAATGCCTTCACAGGTTTGTGCAGTCCCCGGGTGGGCGGGCAGGGAGCTATGGAGATAGAGACAATGAGCTTCTTCAGGGGTGGGGAGGGGTAACCAGAGAAGACTTCCCCAATGAGGTGCCACACCTATCCTGCTGCTGGTGTGACTGGGCATTCGTCAGAAAGCCCAAAGTAAAAGAAATTTTGAAGAAAAGGCAAACCACATGCAACATGGCCCTAAATAAAGTACCAAATGTTTGGCTGGGTCTAGAGTAAGGGTGGGGTGGCTAGGGTACGGCAGGTAAAAAAGCAGCCATGGAGAACCAGGGTAAGGAACCTGGACTTCATCCTACAGGCAATGGGAAGCAGTGAGGGGTCCAAGTAATCAGAGGTTCTGTGACCTTATTTGCATTTTATAGCGGGCACTCTGGCAGTAAGTAGTGTGGGAACAGATCTGTGAGGGGCAGGCGGCAAGCCGTCAGCTGCTGGAGGAGAGGCAAGACACGAGGAGAAAGGGACAGATGGATCTCTGACAGAACTCGTGGGATGCGTGGGTGAACTGAAGCGGTGGAAGAAGGGAGAGAGGAAACAGTTGTGGACGAACCCCAGGGTCTCTGAATTATGCAAGAGGACACAGAGGGGAATCATTAATTGGAATCAGGGACAAAGCCCTGAGGATGAGGTATGCGTCTATGTGTGAAATAAGGGGGCAATTAAGATGATGGGTTGAGTTTTGTACCCAGGGGACTTGCTGGTGGATACCCAGAATACAAAAGGACAGACCTGGTTGAGGAAAAAGTCTGGGCCCCCTTGGACCACCAGGAGCACAAAAACCCAGAAAGTGGCAGACTGACAGGATAGTGGGGGGTCACACAGGATGGCGTTAGGAGAAACCCCAGGAGCACCCAACCTGAAGGGCTAGAGGAGGAAAAACAGATGAAAGTGGAAGTAAGACTGTTCGGGTGTGAGCAGTCTGGAAGAGGATTTTACGTCTCAGGAAGAAATTGTCAATGCTGTCGAATGACCTGGAGAGAATACAGAGATACAAAATGCCCAATGGACCTAGTTGTAGGAAAATGTGAGTGTGCTCTTCACCTGAGAGGTAAGGAAGAGAGAAGCTGACAGCCAGAGGTCAGAAAGCCACTGAGAGTGAGGATGTGCCAGACCCTCAGGATAAACTATTCTCTGAAACTTTGACCATGAAGGGAAGACACAAGGCCAGGGCTGTAGAAGATCCAGGTCACTAAGGAAGAGAGAGGCAGACGAATTCATGGACTGCAGGAGACTCTCAAAGATGAAGAGGCTTCAGAAGAAGGGAAGCTGGCAACAAGTGGTGGGGGTAAGGGCCAGGAGCAGAAAGAAAGGTGACCCACTGACCAGCTTTGGGGGCAGGAGAAAGATCACCTCTTTCACTAGACACTGGAATGGAAGGGAGACAGAGGTTACCAAAGGTAATAAGCTTACAGCATCTGCAAAGGTAAATGAATGAAGTAAAAAGGCCAGGAGAAGGGGATGTAGTTAACCACAAGAAGAAAACGAACTTTTCCTCCCACAAGGAACCTGTACATGGCAATTTTTCCTGAGAGTGGAGGACTTTGCCACAGGATGGGTAAGCCTGCATTGGAAGGTGCAACTGACAGGAAAGAACCAGAAGGTAGGCCAGCTGTATGTGGTTTAAATTCCTGTGCTTCCCCAAGCGTGCAGGGAACACCAGTGGCAGGCCAGGCACTGGGATCAGAAGTGCTACCAACCTGGTCCTGGCCCCCAGGGACCTCTGGACCCAGTGAGGTGTTGCCGTCCAGCTCAGGTCCGCCATCCTGACAGGAGGGCTAAGAAGGCTCTTCCTCAATGGAGAACCAAGATAACCTATCTCCCTCAGCACTATTTTCTCTCAACTTTACTTCTAATCTAACGTGCCTTCTGTGATGAGCTGTCAGCCTATGCAAGTCTTTGGCTAGACTCTGAGGGAAAAGGCTCTGGGGGGGAAGACTTAAAATTTACATCTGGGTTATTCTCTAGGCATCCCCCCACACACACACAGGTGAAGGATGTAGTCTCAGCCTGAGCAGATGTATACTCGGGGAAGGGACTAGCACGGAAAGGGATGGGTAGAAAGTCTCCAGTGCTAAAATTCCCACAGACTTGCTCAGCCCAACAGGACAGGGGTACCAATGTCAGGAAATTAGAGTTTCACTCTCTTTGACCCATAGTTAAATAGCACTTCCTAAAGGGGTCAGTTAAAAGAACTCTCTTGCCAAACTGGAAAACGTTAAGCCTAAAAACAACTATGGTCAGGGCTATTTCAGGGAATGAAAGGAAAGAGTGGGTAATTTTAACACTGTCATACAAACCAAACACTTTTCTCTTGGCAGTACTCTCTCATCCTTCAGCCCCAGACTGATACACACACTTGGCATCCAATTATGTTACTAAAAGGGCTGGAAGTAGAACCAACTAGGGGGTGTATGATGAGTTCTACCTATGGTGACACTGTGAGAAACTTCGTCTCTGATCTGCAAGCCTCCTGATCTTGAAAGAAAATGATGAAATCTCCTATGAGGGCTTGAAAATCCCTTCCCCAATTCCCCTCACCCTCTTCAGAAAAGATGCACACTTGGTGATTTCATCCTCAAATAGTCTCTGACTGCTGTCACCTAC